ACGTTCCAAAAACTAGCACTTGAATTCACCATACCTCAACAAATTTGTGCATAACTTTTACATTGTATTCTGTATTGTTAGCAATCTAGAGATGATTTAATGTATAAAGGAGGATGCCTGTACGTTATTTGCAAATACTATGCTATTTTATACAAGGGACTCAAGCATCCTTGGGTTTTGGTGTTGGGGGAGGGTCTTGGGACCAGTCCCCTGCGGATACTGAGGAACAACTGTTAATGTTTGTAGTCCCTAAAAAGGTTCAGATTGTGTATGTGTTTGTTTAATAGGATACATATAATGAAATGAAAGTCATTTGGAGCACTAAGAATCCCTGAGTATAGTGCCTCTGGGAGAACTAAGTATGTCATTATGCTAATAATTTAATGGTTTAAATTCAATTTTAAAAATAGCACAATCTGCTACTTTTAGAAGAGTTCTGTTTTCTATTGGAATATAATCGGTTAACAATGTTGTGCTAGTTTCATGTCTACAGCAAAGTGATTCAGTTACATATACATCTATTCTTTTTTAAATTATTTTCTCATTTAGGTTGTTAGAGAATATTAAGCAGAGACCCTGTACTATAGTAGGTCCTTGTTGGTTATCTATTTGAATATATAGCAAGTTTCCTTTATACATTAGGAAATTCTTGCTTTTCTCATACATACTGTCCTAAAACTACAGAATCTTTCAGTCACATTAAGACCTTAAGTATCCTCTTAATGATGAATGGTGATTTAGTCACTAAGTTGTGTCTGACTCCTGTGGCTGAAAGATTCTATAGTTTTAGGACAGTATATATGAGAAAAGCAAGAGTTTCAATGTATAAAGGAAACTTGCTATATAGAAAATAGCCTAATTCTTATAGAGGGTAAATATCAGACTCAGACATTTCAGTGAACAAAATATTGGAAGATAGATAGATATATACTTCTTTCATTTCAATATGTCACTCTGAGAGGATTTCCTGACTTTGAGCAAAAGAATAGCATGTGTAATATATATTCTCAGTTTAACTGGAACTTTTCGCTAAGTTAGGGACTTAGTAGCTTTATTCTTTTCAATATCACAGACTTCAGAAGTAATAAAATCTTCAGCATGCTTCAGTTTCTACCTACTCATAATTTGGAGAGAATTTTTTTCTTTTAGCATAATTTTATTTCATCTTATTAATTTCTAAGGTTAATCATCTCTTCAGAGAAGATAGTATAATGAGATATTGTATCAGGAGCCATGTTAGGAAAGTAAACAAGAATAACTGTTAGAACATTATAATAACTGTTGACTGTTTACTCAGGAGAAAGTCAACATTCTGAGAATTCTCAGTATATCAGTTTATAAAACAGCAGCAGTTACATGTATCAAATTTTGGATACCATTGAAAGCTCCTGAACTGTGGAAACCTTATATTTAAAACCACAAAACAGTTTGAGATTAAAATGCAAAAAGGATATTTTGACTTTTAACAGCTTTAGCTTTGTTATTACTATTATTTAGGGAGTTATATTATTTTATGAGTTGCTGACAATGTTTTTAAAAACCTTATGCTTGCTGTATGTTGTCATTAGATTCTATGAGCTGTAATTTTAATTTTGTGCCTTTGTATCTTTGATGTTACACACACACACACACACACACACACACATGCAAACACAATCTTAATGGGTAATCCATAAGTGTTGTCCTAAGTGTTTAGAAGTATGAGAGTTATGTTTGAAGTCAGAGGAAGTAGCTTGAACTTTGAAAAATCACGAGTTGAAAGTATCAAACTTTTGGTTTTTATACTACGTAGAGCAGTTAAGAAATTGCATACAGTTAAGTACATGAAAATACAGTCATCACCTTAAAATTTTAACATCTTACTGTGCTCTGAACTAGCCCTTCTGGTTCTTACTAATAGTGTGATTGACAGTCCTGATGGTGATCTAGATCTCATTCAGAAAGACAATATCCAGGTTGCTATTTTATTTAAAAGTCTTACTGCATACTTTGTCTCTTCATTGTTAACCATTAGTTTAGGCATCTATATATGCCAATGAAATTGATTCTTTTGCTTGGTCCATACATTATAACACTGAAGTTCAGTTAATATTTTCTTTCATTCCTTAGGGTCTTTTCCCCACCTTTTTTACAGAGGGCTGTTTCCATTTAAAGTTGTACTCTATTTGACTTGGAGTGTCCGAAAATGTGTATCCTGCTTGAGCTTATAGTTTTGTGGCTTTGATAATCACAGAAATCTCATATTCACTGTACAAATGTTCAGTTGACCCGCAGAACTTGTCTAGCCACTGGTGCCCTTTCTTACTCTTCATACTCACATCCCACTGCCACCCTGCAGATGCTAACTCGGCTCCTACTATATGTCAGGCACTATTCTAGGTGCTGGGCTCCATCAGGGCACAGAGCAAACAAAAATCACACCTCACGAGCTTGTACAAATAGAAGTTTCAAATGCCCTGAGCCTCCTTTTGGAAAAGGCATTGCCAGGCTCATCTTTACGAAGTACAGATACTGATCATCTGTCTGTATAAAGGGACAGGATAACTGTGAGATTTAGGAAAAGAGTTAGAGGCCAGCCTCTCTGAATTGGTTCTGACTTCAGTTGCGTGAGATTCATGGGCATCACTTTGTATCCCCTCTCCCTCCCGGGCCTTCCCTCTGTCATTTTCTGTGCTGCATCCTCCTTATTGTTTTTACTTCCAAACATTAGAGGTTATTGGACCTTTCTGCTTCTATATTTATGTTCATGCTAACTAATTTCATTCAGCCCCATGATTCAAAGAAGTGTCCATATGCTTAGAAGACCCAGATTTACAGCTCCAACTTAGATCTCATCTCTGCACTCTGGATTTTTGTATCAGTTGCCTATTCCATATCTCATCCTGAGATGAATAGGCCCATTGCACTTCACCTGTTGGAAGCAGAATGCCCAGCTCCCACCCCTCCCCTCCCCTTGCATTCTCTGACCCCTACCTGTGCTCTCTGCACATCGCTGAATCCTACCACCATTCACCTAACTGCTCAGACAGTTGCTCACCGAAACAGTTGCGGAGTTATCCTTGTCTCCTTTCCCTCTCACCAACGTTCAACACATAAGCAAAAGCTGAACATACATTCTTAATTGCTTCACCAATAATATCCTAGGCCATATTTGCCATCTTCAATCCGCTGGTTCTAGACAATTGCGAGGGCTTCCTAACTCACTTTTACTCTTGCCCTCCCAGAATTTGGCAGACTGGAGTTAATCCTCTTAACGTATAAATTGGCTCACATTCTGTTCAAAGTGTCTTCCTATTGCACTTCAAAAAAAAAAAAAAAAGTCCAAAGTGCTTGCTCTTGTTGTCACACCTAGAACCTGATTCCCTTGTCTCCACCATATGTTCTCCTTCTTTCTCCTGAATTTGTCCACAGCAGCCATCTTGACTTCCTTGCCAGGACCACTAGGTTCATTTTCTGCCCCAGAGCCTTTGCGCATCTGTTTGTACCACCTGGACTCTTGTCCCAGATATATGCATGGTTTGTCCTTTCACTTCATTTAAGTCTCTGCTCAAATGCCACCTTCTTGGGGAGGACCCAATGCCACTCCCCCTCTTACTCTATCCAGTTGCTCTAATCCCCATTCCCTGCTGTATATACTTTTACCGTGTCTGGATATTATGTAACATGTTGATTTTTGGGGGCTTAATAGTTCATTATGTGTCCCCCATTAAAATGCAAGTACCATACTCTAGCTTATTACTGGAAGTTTGAGAGCACCTGGTATTTATCGTGTATTTATTGAGTGAATGAATGATCAAATGAATAATACTTCTCAGGACTATAGTAGAAGCCCTAGTACTGCCGCCAGTCAATAGGCAGGGGCATGACAAATTCTGCCTTTCTACTGATTTTGTCTTCATTATTGTTGGAAGTTCTGAGATTCAAAGCATGAGATTAATGGAACATTTACTGAAAGAACTCAAGAGTCTCAGCAATGAATACCTAATTTATTTTTTTGTGTTTGTGTTATACCACTAAACTGGAATACCCACATACTAAGGAAATTATTAATTTCCATGTATGTTTAATTCATTCATTTTAGGGTACTTTTGTGTATAAAGAATGTAGTATATGCAAATGTTTTAAAAACTCACATTTAAATAAGAGTTGTTAACCTAAGGACCAGGAAATTATTGTATATATTACACATAGGAAAGCATGAAATGAAGAAGTGATGAGTGTCAGACTATATTGTGAGTGGTCACTTTGTTACTTTGGATTCATATTTTCTTTATTGTATCCTTATCATAAAGTAAAATATATGTATTATATGATTCATATTTCTGTACTTAGTGATGAAATATTCCTATCAAAATGGTTGAGTTTCATCTTATTTTTCAAGAGGAGTTGCACCATTTCAGATATCTCATAAGTAACGTTTAACTTCTTCAGCCTCTGATATTTTCTTACATGATGGTTTGGTACTTCTTTTTCACCAAAGACCAACAACATTCAGGCATGTTAGTTCATGTGAATGCAGTTAAATTTAGGCAAAATAATTCATCTTAATGCAGTTGAATGCAATAAGAAAGCAGACGCACTTGGGATAATTAAAAGGAAATTAAATTTATTAGAATTTAACTCACCTCATTTGACAGAAGATATCAGATGACTTAAAAAGTTGACATACAATATGATTTAAAACTAACGTGAGCTGGTATGGGGAGGGGGATATGTTTGACGTATCCAGTTAAAGTTCTTTGGATGGTGCAGTGCTTTGAATGCCTCTTGAGTGTGTCAGCTATTTGATGAGACATGCTTTATTGCTTTTCTACTTACATTTGCATAACCACCTTTAAGCAGAAAAACTGCATGATTTTAAACTTGATTATCAAAAAGTCCCTTGAATTGAGTTATCCTTATTGAGTTGTGCCTTGACTAATTTTTGGAACACAAGCATTGTTAGAAAGACACTGAGAAATTCTCAGAGCAGTTTATACAGCTATTTGTTTCCTCTTTAGGGAATGATGCAACATCAATTGTCAACTGTCTTCATATTTTGGGTCAGACTTTGGATGCAAGGTAAATGGATATGTTTTTATCTCAGTCAATGAGTGTAAAAATGATGTATAGGAATGTGAAGAAAAAGCTAGTGTCTTCTTTGGAATTGTAATGAAGACTTCAGGTGAAAAAGAAAATATTTTATAAATTAATAGTACAAGTAAATAAGTGTTAGTTGCTCAGTCGTGCCTGACTCTTTGTGACCCCATGGACTACAGCCCACCAGGCTCCTCTGTCCATGAGATTTTCCAGGCAAGGATACTGGAGTGGATCGCCATTTCCTTCTCCAGAGGGTCTTCCCAACCCAGGTATCGAACCCAGGTCTCCTGCACTGCAGGCAGATTCTTTACCAACTGAGCTACAAGGAAAGCCCAATAATACAAGAGCATTATATTATTTTTATATTTAATCAGATACAGATTGTTTAAATTTCAAGTAATTTCTGTAGTGGCTAGGTATATAATTGAGAGTTGCATTGGAACTGTATCATGTGAGGTAAAAATAATGAGCTATAACTCTAGACAGCCTATTAACTTCAAAGCATGGTAGTTGTACTCCATTTTGTTATAATATTTAGTTTTATAGGAAACATGAGGGTTTTAGTCTTATTTTACAGTTGAGTAAAGTGAAGCTCAAGATTCCATAATAAGTGTGGAAGTAGGCCAATTTCCAAGTCCATGCACTTTCTACCCTGCCCTCATATCACCATGACCAGACATCCAAATACAAAACCAATTTGGTTAGCTTGATTCAGCCTTTAAGCCATTCTTTTAATTCATTAATTATCCAGGATATATCTAAATAAAAGTTCCTAAAATTCTTCCACAGAGAATATTCAGTGATACCTTGAATTATTCATTTTAATGTTTAAAATTTTATTTGAGATGTTTATTGTAATAAATGAAGGAAAAAGATACAATTATGCACCTTGATTTTCTATGCAAAATAGTGGCTTTTAGCGTGTCACTTTGATACAGAGTTCAGTCTTCAAAGACTTATTTAGAAAAAACTGATTTTTTACCGTTAAAAGTAAAAAAAAAAAAAAGTCTGTATCATTTGGTAACTTGGTTTAACCAGCATTAAATGTTTCTTTCACACCCATTGCCTCACAAAACAGTCTAGTTTTGTTGGATTTGAGATGAACTAAACTGGCTCAGGACCTAAGTTTTGTTAGTCATGAAATAAGTATTCTCAAAATTTGAGACCACAGTTTAAAAGCATAAAGCAATAGAACTTTGGAAGCCATTTGGGATTTCTCTGACAGTCCAGAGGTTGACTCGGAGCTGCCAACATAGAGGGCAGGTTTGGGGTTTGATCCCTGGTTGGGGGACTAAGGTTCCTCATTTGTGTGGCCACAGGGAGGGTGGGGAGAGTAGGAAGGATGTTAAAAAACAAAAAAGAACTACTCTTTGCTTCAAGATCCTAATTAAGTTGACTCTAAAGGCATTTAGGAAAGGTTATGCATTTATGGAGTGATATTACTATAACTTCAAGTATATAGGAAAAAAATTACTTGAAAGTGGATTAAAATTAAAAAGAATTCATTTGAATCAGTTCTAATGAGATGGATGAAACTGGAGTCCTTTATACAGAGTGAAGTAAGCCAGAAAGATAAAGACCAATACAGTATACTAATGCATATATATGGAATTTAGAAAGATGGTAACGATAATCCTATATGCAAAACAGAAAAAGAGACACAGATGTACAGAACAGACTTTTGGACTCTGTGGGAGAAGGCAAGGGTGGGATGTTTCGAGCGAACAGCATCGAAACATGTATATTATCTAGGGTGCAACAGATCACCAGCCCAGGCTGGATGCATGAGACAAGTGCTCGGGGCTGGTGCACTGGGAAGACCCAGAGGGATCGGGTAGAGAGGGAGGTGGGAGGGGGGATCGGGATGGGGAACACATGTAAATCCATGGCTGATTCATGTCAATGTATGACAAAAACCACTGCAATATTGTAAAGTAATTAGCCTCCAACTAATAAAAATAAATGGAAAAAAGAAAAGAAAGTGGATTAAAAAAATTAAGTTGACTGAATATCGTCATGAACAAATAAACATGATGTACAAGCATGTTTTATTTGTATTTCATGTGCTCCTACCCTTCTTTCCTCCCTAGGACTGTGATGAAGACTGGCCTGGAGAGTGTTAAAAGTGCACTCAGAGCTTTCCTGGACAATGCCGCAGAGGATCTGGAGAAGACAATGGAGAATCTTAAGCAGGGCCAGTTCACCCACACCCGAAACCAGCCCAAAGGTGTTACTCAGATTATCAATTATACCACGGTGGCACTGTTGCCAATGCTGTCATCATTATTTGAGCATATTGGCCAACATCAATTCGGAGAAGATCTAATATGTATGTAAATCTATTAGAGTTTCATTATCTAAATAGTACAATCAGAAATTGTAACAGCCACGTCATAGATATTACTCAAACACTGCCTACAGTAAATTTTTTTTTTTTTGGCAGAACACTTTAGGTTGACATTTGAGTTTCAAAACCATTATTATAGAGATTGATCATGAGTTCACAGGAGGGACCAGTAAGGTAGTGGTTATAGATAGTCACTCCCACACTGTTGACATACAAATTCCAAATTATACTCTTTCTATGTTGTCTCTTTCCATGGAAAGTTTCTAATACAGTTTCACTATAGGACATGCAGCATTAAGTGTTTTCAAATTATTTCTGAGTTGATGCAAATTGTTTCTGCAAGCTATCCAACCAAAATGTGAGGACTGCTGAGACAAAGTCTGTGTCTAAATCATTGATCTACTAGGGCAGCTCCAATGTCTTTGGTTTATAGATTTCAGTCTGTTTTCATAGGGGAGTTCATCTGCTGTTTTTTTCTGGAATTTTGTAGTTGTTAAAAAATATCCACAGAATGCCCAAGCTTGAGTGGAAAGAGAACCACATGACCTAAGTTTCTTCCCTTCTGCCTATATGAACATGAAAGAAGATAAAAGCCCATATCTAGCAGTCAAGTGGGTCTTGCCCACAGACCCACCCACTCAGACTCTCAAATGGTGTAGGTCTCCCAGGTAAAGTAATATTCTGTAAAAACCATGGTGGTAATCAGAGAATGACACAAAGACTTGTTTCAAAATATTGACACTACTTGAACCAGTGGGAACATTACTTCCCGTCCCATATTGACATAGAAGCAAGTATGGGAGAGGAGAATGATTTCTCCATTCATATGGTGTGTCCTCCAGAAAGTGGTAACAGAGTTGGCATTAGAAATCCAAGGTTCTTATATTTCTTTGCCTGTTGGGCATGTTTATTGAATCAGAGATCATCTTAGAAGTTTTATTTTCTAGCTTTAGAAACTACAAGAGTAACTTTCTTATGCTTTGAATTCCAGGTTGTTTCAGAAATAAATGATACACCCCATTCTCCAGCATTCTCATTCTTGTTCATTTGAGAGTTAAAATAAAAGATACTGTCTCTATGTACCTTTGAAACAGGAGTCAAAATGGACCTGTCCTCTCAGATATTCTTGTGCTTAGTTTTATTCTTGAAGAAATCCTTATTCTTATGTCTAAAGAAAAATAATAAAGTGTTCCTGATAATATTCTGTCTGTGTAATCAGAGCATGAGTCTTTAGAATGCTTTCAGCTCCTTCAAGAAAAGAGTTTTATTTGAGAAAAAAGTTTTAAATGTAATTTAAATATAATTTAAAAATTTTGTATTTTAAAATATAATTATGAATTTAAATATAATTTTATATGTTCTTATATTTTGTCAAATATTACAGTATTAGTATGTCTTTGATATAGAATTTTGTTTTTGGCCTAAACTTTCTCAGGACAGTGTATTGATAACAAGTATTTTAAATGAAATTCTCTTTTTCCTTAGTGGAAGATGTACAGGTATCATGTTATAGAATTCTGACTAGCTTGTATGCTTTGGGAACCAGCAAGAGTATTTATGTGGAAAGGTAAGAGTTTGAGAGCTTAACATCTTACTAATAGTTTTTTTAGATGTTATAATTATTCACTTCAAGGATTTCACTTTATAACTTTTTCCTTAGTTATAAAACAAGGAAAATCTGGTTGTTCCTAAACAACCAGATTGATATGTTGAATTTCTTGGGAAGAATTAGCCAATCTTTAAGCTAAATGCTAAATTTGATTGAAACGATGTTTACTGATAAAACAAATGCCAATTTATGAATGAAAAATGTAAAGCAATAATGGTAAAGACCATATTTAATATAAAGTTTAAACTTTACAGCATTAATGAATCTTATAAAAGATTAAATATGGGTATTTATTAAATCAGTTTAATTTTCTCATAAGTTCTTAAGTTCAAGAGGGGAAGATTTGCAGGGTCAGAGGATGTGGACAGATCAAGTAAGATAAGGTGTCCCCACTGAACTGAAAAAAAGGGATCACTGGTGACTTCATTAAAAAATTTCTATGGAAGAGAGATGAAAAAGAAGGCTTTTTTTTAACAGTTAAAATAAATAAAAAGGCATGCTAATAAAAGACCAATAAATGAAGTAAATAAATCAAATGATATTCTGAGAGAGGAACATTGAATAGATGTAAATTATCCTCAAATTAATCTTAATTATAATACAATTTCAAGTAGATATTTGCTTTTTTACTGAACTTGAAAAAATAATTCAGAAGTTCATTAGGAAGAATAAATGCATGAGACTAGCCCATACAATTTTGAGAGAGAAAAATAAAATAATAAATGTGTATGCATGTGGCCTACCAAATATTAAAACTTTTTTAAAATGGTAAAGTTGCAATTACCAAGATATAGGAAACTAGATCAATGGAAAAAAAAATAATTGAATTTTTCTAAATATTTTGAAAGTTTTACCTGCATTTTAAGTCAGTCTTTTTAAAAATAATTTTGTGTGGCTCTAAAATATATTTTATCCTAAGGAAGTGTCGTAATATATCAAAACGTTCCTTCATTTTTGACATGTAGCCTCTTTTCTCTTTTTCATTATCGTAAATAATGCTAAATCAATGTTCACAATTTTCTGTGTGTATTTTCTTTCCTTTATCAGAATTTGGAGATCTGGGTTAAAAAGTATGCATATATTAATGGTTTATGATACACATTTTGCTGTCTTTTAAAAAACTGATTCAATTTATACTATAAAGTTTGCAAGAGGATTCTTACTTCCTCACATGTTTCTCATTTCTGATTATTCTTTTTTACTATTTATAAATTTAATAGTTAAAATGGGGTATCATTTTTATTTTCAGATGCATTTCTCTGATTACTTGATATGGGGTACTTTGTTATGTTTAGTTTGCCATTTTTATTTATTTGATAAATTACCTTTTCTCACTTTTTGTCAATTTTTCTATTAGTTTGTTGTCTTACTCATTAGTAATGACCTTTCTATTTAGTATTAACCTCTTGTCTGTTATTTCTCCTTGTTTTTATGATTTTTCACATTTTTATACCTTTATAGTGCTTATATATAAAACATAATGTGCAGATAGTTTTTATGTCATGAGAGTTAAGAACTTTTATATAGTCAGATCTACTAATTATGTCATGTGTCTTCCCTCTTAGCTTCATGATTTTAAATAGTTTATACTATACCTTAACAGCTAGAAATTAAAATATTTGATCTCCTAGGTTTTTCGTGTTTTCATTTGTCTAGATTTACTTTTTAATTCTTTTGTTCATTCAGTAAATATTTACTAAATGTCAGATTCTGGGATACAACAGTGAACAGATAGATCCCTGCTCTCAAAGAGTTTATGTCAAGTGAAAGGGACAAAACAGAACAACTAAACTGATGTTACAGTAGCAAGTTACTGTGTGTGAATAGCACACAATACAGAGAATTACATGAGGTAGTCAGGAATGTATTTTTTAAAACATGGTTTTTTGGACTCAAAACTTTCTTTACTCATTCAATGGGAGACAAGTAGAAGGTAAGTCTAGGTTTGTGTCTAATAACTTTTGTTGTCTCAGTGAAGTATGATTTGAGTCTTTAGCCAAATCATAGTTGAAAAAACAAGCGTGAGAAGCCTGAGGAAGGCATAGAATGTCCGAAATCGTTTGTTGTTCTTCAGTTGCTAAGTTGTGTCTAACTCTTTGCGGCCCCATGGACTGCAGCACACCAGGCTTCTCTGTCCTTCACTGTCTCTAGGAGTTTGTTCAAACTCATGTCCATTGAGTTGGTGATGGTGTCTAACCATCTAATCCTCTGTTGCCCTCTTCTGAAATGATTATCTCAGGGCTAAGAAGAGAATTTACTAGAAATGCATCTGAATTTCGTGTTTCTGTTTGGTGTTATGTAGAATTTAAATTTAATTTTTAAATCATCCACTCTGCCTAACATAATGATTTATTAAATGTTTCTTTTATTCACTGATTTAAAATAAACTCAATCATACACTAAATGTGATAGGTTATATTTCTAGAATGTGTTCTAGAATACATATATCTAAAATTCTGTTCTATTATTTGATTTTTTGAATGATAAGAGCAGTACCATTTAGCCTAACTTATTAGTATTTTGTAATTTATTTTAATAGCTGGTAGTCAAAATTCTCTTATACCTCACAGTTACTGTTATTGTTTTTTGCTATTCTTGCCTGGATATTTTTGTTGATAAAATCTGGATCATTCTCTTAGAGTCTAAAAAAAGATACATGTGCATTTTATTCAGTTAACTTCACAATTGTAAAGTGATTTTGGGAGAATATAAAAATAAAAATTTGAAGGTGAATAAAAGGTATTTTGAAAAAATGATGCTATACTAAAAAATGTAGTTATTTTTATACAAGTCATTTAAAACAAACATTGCTATTTCCAGAAAACAACACAAGTGATCAAAATTAATCTGAGAATTACTATTTGAATTGGTATTTTAAAGTGAATCATTAAATAATTCAGAAGAATTATTAATTAAATAAAAGGACTAGCCCAATATCCTGGTGGCTCAGATGGTAAAAAATCTGCCTGCAATGTGGGAGACCAGTCTTCAGTCCCTGGGTTGGGAAGATCCCCTGGAGAAGGGAATGGCAACCCACTCCAGTATTCTTGCCTGGAGAATCCCATGGACATAGGAGCCTGGTGGACTACAGTCCATGGGATTGCATAGTCAGACACAACTGAACAACTACCGGTTTCATGCTTTGAATCAGATGTCAGGAAATAGATTACCTACCTTGGGGTCATACATGAAACATTTTAGGCTATTAAATTCTTAAAGTATGTCTCATTATTTTAAAGCATTTATTGAACCTATATCGTGTACCAGATATTTTGCAATTCTGTCCTCATTTTTAGGTAAGGAAAGAAAAACTTGCGAAGTATAAGTAATTTTCCTACAGTGAGTGACACAGCGTTAGGAGTAAGATCAGGACTTGGATCTGTATGAATAAAAGCCTGTGCTCTTTGTAATTTCTTGATGTCTTATTTTTAGTAATGCAATGTTATTAAAAGTTAAAATTGAACTTTACCTTATTCAGTTTCTTTCCATGAAGGGATATTTTCTCCTAGCAGAGTACATATCTAGTCATTTTAATTAAAATATTAAATAATCAAGCATTTATTATTTTTTGGTAAGAAATTTAAAACTACCCAAGAGAATTATGTTATCTTGTCTTAACTTAATCCATTTTATTGACTTTTAAATTAAATATGTATACAAAGTCATTTAAAGAGTTCATAGTTTCCTGAACTCTCATATTATTCTATATTTAATAAACATTTAAGATGCCAGTAAAGCCTTGGATTAAGTAGAAAACTGAGGGAGAGAGAGAATTTTAATATATCAGTGGCAGGAGAATTCTTGAATAAGTTGATCACAGTTTGATTCCCAAGGCACTTCCTTCTCTTGAAAATGATAAATCAGTTTTAAGTGTTATCAGTAGTCTTTAGCATCTAGTGTATTTTACTATTTCATAACTGAGTAATAATCTGAAATTACTTATATAACCCTGAAATTAATTATATATGGCAAATTTTCAGAAAGTTGTATGTGTGCTAGTATTAGTACTTTATTTTTTTTAATTTTTAATCAAAATCCATTTATTCATATGGCAAGATTTGTTCCTTAGAGCACTGTGTTAAAAAAGAAAGAAAAGGAGGTCAAATGAAATGTCCAACTAGTGGAGGCATTTACAGGTGTGTTTGTTGTTGTTGTTGTTTTTGTCTGTACTGTTTTTAACTTCTCTTTAGCTGACAGGTAATTTAGCTTTAAAAAAAATGGTAAGGAACTTGCTGTGGAAAGCATATGATATTTTGCAATATAGAGGTTGGATCTGAGGGGTAGTTTTTATCAGTAGCTCTATGATTGTCTTTCTTTTAGGTTGACTATGCCAATTTTAATATAACTTCTTCAGTTATTCACTTAGAAGACTTTAAAAATGTAAAGTTTCCATTTACAGGCAACGTTCTGCATTGGGAGAATGTCTGGCTGCTTTTGCTGGTGCCTTTCCTGTAGCATTTTTAGAAACTCACCTGGACAAGCACAATATTTACTCCATCTACAATACAAAGTCTTCGAGAGAGAGAGCAGGTAGCACAGAAGCATGTGTGGTACTTGATATTTGAAGCTAAAAATGAATGACATTTGTTGTATTTTACAACCATGATTTTTTAATGGGCTATTTTAATTTATCTCCAATGCTATTTGTTCTTAAGTCTTATTATTTGAAATTTTTTGGAGTGTTTTATACTATCTCCATTGTTTTTCTGAAAGAAAATTAGTTTCTTTTAAATTAATGAACCACAGACAAGTTAACCCTCTTAATAATAAGACAGAATAATCAGCAGTATGGAAAAAATAGGTCACTCTAATTCAGTTATCTCTTAAAGGTAGTCAGCACGTGTACAGCATTCTTATTTGTTATGATTATGGATTCATTGGAGAAGGAAGTGGCAACCCACTCCAGTATTCTTGCCTGGAGAATCCTGTGGATATAGGAGGCTGGTGGGCTGCTGTCCATGGGGTCGTACAGAGTCGGACACGACTGAAGCGACTTAGCATGCATGCATGCATTGGAGAAGGAAATGGCAACCCACTCCAGTGTTCTTGCCTGGAGAATCCCAGGGATGGAGGAGCCTGGTGGGCTGCCATCTATGGGGTTGCACAGAGTCGGACATGACTGAAGCAACTTAGCAGCAACAGCATGGATTCATATTTTGCATTTTTCTCAGTTCACTTGGTATATCCATCTTATTGGGACAGTTTTATTCTATGTGATTTTTTCTAATAGTATTGTCCTCTAAGTCTGATAAACTGTATTATATATTAGTTGTTTTCCAAAAACCTTGCAATCAGTCAGTTCAGTCGCTCAGTCATGTCTGACTCTTTGCAACCCCATGGACTACAGCACGCCAGGCCTCTCTGTCCATCACAAACTCCCGGAGTTTACTCAAATTCATGTCCATTGAGTCAGTGATGCCATCCAACCACCTCAGCTTCTGTCATCCTCTTCTCCTCTTGCCTTCAATCTTTCNTTTTCCAATGAGTCAGTTCTTCGCATCAGGTGGCCAAAGTATTGGAGTTTCAGCTTCAGCATCAGTCCTTCCAGTGAATGTTGAGGATTGATTTCCTTTAGGATGGATTGGTTAGATCTCCTTCAGTCCAAGGAACTGTCAAGAGTCTTCTCCAATACCATGGTTCAAAAGCATCAATTCTTTGCCACTCAGCTTTCTTTATAGTCCAACTCTCACGTTCATACATGACTACTGGAAAAAACATAGCTTTGAGTAGACAGACCTTTGTTGGTGAAGTAATGTCTCTGCTGTCTTTTAATTTCATGGCTGCAGTCACCACCTGCAGTGATTTTGGAGCCCCCCAAAAGAAAGTCTGTCACTATTCCCACTGTTTCCCCATCTATTTGCCAAGAAGTGATGGGACCAGATGCCATGATCTTAGTTTTCTCAATGTTGAGTTTTAAGCCAACTTTTTGACTCTCCTCTTTCACTTTCATCAAGAGGCTTTTTAGTTCCTCTTCACTCTCTGCCATAAGGGTGGTGCCATCTGCATATCTGAGGTTATTGATATTTCTCCCAGCAATCTTAATTCCAGCTTGTGCCTCATCCAGCCCAACATTTCTCATGATGTACTTCTGCATATAAGATAAATAAGCACGGTGGCAATATACAGCCTTAACGTACTCCTTTCCCTATTTTGAAGCAATCCATTGTTCTACGTCCAGTTCAAACTGTTGCTTCCTGACCTGCATACAGATTTCTCAAGAGGCAGATCATGTGGTCTGGTATTCCCATCTTTCAGAATTTTCCACAGTTTGTTGTGGTCCATACAGTCAAAGGCTTTGGTGTAGTCAATAAAACAGAAGTAGATGTTGAGTTCCCCAAACTTGGACAAGAATATTTGCTGTTCACAAATGCATATGTCTCTGTTAATGAGATCATTTTGTGTAATTCATGTTTGTATGGTAGTTACTGGTTACACTAATTTTACAGTGAATTTTTCAAGTAAGACTGCTTTTTTAAAAGTTGAATATTTATCATTTACTTTACCTAGTTTATGATTCTAATTTCATATCACAGAGAGGAAGCTAAAGGACAATATGTTGACTATAACTTAGCAACATAGTCAATATGTTGACTATTTTTCTAGATAGTTGCACAATATATTTGTAAACAGTAAAACAATTAAATTTTGATTTAATATCTGTGTTAGCATGTCTTATTAAGTTGTCTTATTAAGGATTTTTGATCTTTTAATATTTTTGCAATGAATCAAGAATGAAGCAGATTATTATTTCATTACAGATCAGGAAATATACAGAGCCAATAATCTACCTGCTTATTTTTTATAATATACTATTTTCATAACAAAGCAAAGGAATTGCATTTAATGATTCTCCTTCATTCACTTTTTACTCAAGTCATTCAACATATGATTGTTTGTTGGTAGGTGGAGGAGACATGATACAAAGATGAATATGATTTGGTTCTTTTCCTCTGGGAGGGTCTAGCTGCATCAAGGGAGAGAAACTGATGAATATATGTGATTGAATTCACAATAAAGAACACTGGGGATGCAAAAAAGCAGTTTGAGCTAGGAGCACCTGGAAAGACTTAGCAAAGTTGGTACAATATGAGCCTTGAAATTAGGGACACTGAAATGCCAGTCCTTAGGAGAAACTTCAAGTACTTTGAGGTAGCAATAGCTTTCAGGGAAGAAAGAGAAAATATGAGGCAAGTATTGGAAAACCAAGAAGAGGTGAGGTAGGCTTTCCAGGTCAGGTAAGGAGTGGGGACTGTACCAGTGCAATAGGGTCCTTTCACTGGCTTTGAAAAGCAGAGTAACATGAGTAGATTTGCATTTTGGAAATCCATCATGATAGAAATAAGAGAGAGGAAGTAGTGTGTGTCACCAATTAGAAAATGACTGTGGTGATTCAGAAGAAATCTGATTGGATCAGGCCCCTTGGATGAAGTTTATAGTGCAGAGGTTATGAGAAATCCTTGAGATAGAAGTGTTTCCTATAGGAGATGAAGGAGCCTCACAGCCTAGAATTTCTTCCAGGTTTCTAGCCTGGGTGACTCACCAGACAACATTGTCCTCACCGAGATATTACTAGTACAGTCTCAAAAGGTAGATTGGAGAGGAAAGGTCAAGTTTAAATTTAGACCCATTTGCCATTTATTTGCTTTTTGACACATTCCTTATGAAGTGTGCACACACACACAAAGCTTTAGGAAATATGGCATTGAGAGTTAATTTGCCTGAACAGAATCTCATAGGAATGGCCAGAATTGCCTAGGCAAACATACAAGCTAAGAGAAGTGAGTTCAACACAAATCCCTAAAGAAAACCCACATATAAAAGTTCAGCAAGGTGAAAAGATTTAGTTAAAAAGAGGCTGACAAAATTTAGAAAAGAGTCAAGAAAGACTGAATGCATTGAAGTTAAGGAAAGGGGGATTTTTGAGGAAAAGGGAATTTTGGTCAGTGATGTGAAATTTTACTTTAGATAAGGATTTTTTTAAAAAATTGTTTAGTGGTAGAAAGCAGGGCATTCACATCTGTGGCTAGGAGAGCACCTGGAAAGTGAACAGTCTGGGAGAGACTTAAGCATATGTATAGGCTGCTGGGGAGGAGACAGTGGAGAAGGAGCTGAAAATGCAATCCTGAGCAAGGCATCGGCTGGAGTGTAGTCTTGACATCAGGTCACAGGTAGAGCAGTGAACCTCAGAACTCCTTCCTCTGAAAAGGGGAATAGAGCTGAATGTGAAACCAGATGCACAAATCCTGGCCACATGAGAGCAGGCAGTTGGAGGGAGAGACATCGGATACTCCTATTTGCTCTGAAGTACAAGGGATGGTCATTTGCTGATCTTCAGCTGGTGGAGTCGGGACTTGGGGGCAGAGAAAGTTTGAAATTACTACCATGAGAAGAGGGAGTGGGATCCAGCTGAAGACGTGCTAGGTCTGGCTGAGTTTTGAAGCTCAGCATGAAATGATTGCTCATGTCTGTTATTAACAGTAGCCATGTGGCTGGTAGGTGACTTCTTTGACTGAACATGTGTCATTTGTATGTGTGTTTCTCTAGCTCTTAATTTGCCTACTAATGTGGAAGATGTTTGTCCAAATATACCATCTTTGGAGAAGCTCATGGAAGAAATTGTGGACTTGGCTGAGTCCGGTATTCGCTACACTCAGATGCCACACGTAATGGAAGTTATCCTGCCCATGCTTTGTAGCTACATGTCTCGTTGGTGGGAGCATGGACCTGAGAATAATCCGGGAAGGGCTGAGATGTGCTGTACAGCTCTGAACTCAGAGCACATGAACACACTACTGGGCAATATCCTGAAAATCATATATAATAACTTGGGTATTGATGAGGGAGCCTGGATGAAGAGGTTAGCAGGTAAGACTGAGAAGGAATGTGCCATTTACATTTTGTTTTCGGAAAGGTTCGAAGTACAGAAGACTAGAATCTTCCTCTCTCAGTCTTGATTAATATTTGCTTCTGTACTCAAACAATATTCTTGATTATTTCTTTCATGCTGTTCGCTGTTCTTAAAAAGAAAAACAAAACTAGATTTAATCAGACATTGTGTAACTTTCCATATAGTTAGTACATTTAAGTGAGTAAACATTTTCTTAATTTGACCAATCTTGTGAAGATTAATCTTGCTAAGATTAATTATAACACAGCAATCAAAATTGATGATCTGTAGACAGAGACAAAAATAAAACTGGATTTTGAACTCATCCACTTTTAGTAATCTGTCTTTGCAGGAGTTAGGGAGAATTGCACTATTTATATTGAGTAATTGGAACAATTTGAGTGACCAGGCACTAGAGAATGGTTAAATAGGTTGTGTATATCCATATTCCAAAATATTATGCTTTCTTTAAATGTTAGGATTTCAATACTTTATGACTTAGAGAATATTCAGAATATCATGGAGGATTAAAAGAAGAGTTTTAAAAACTTGCATTCGGAAGTATACATACGAAGTTGTTTATTGACAGAATTCTCACCCAAATACACCAATGTCTTCTTAGTTTGGATAGGGTGATTTTGGTTCATTTTTAACATTTCTCTTTTATGCATTTCCCCAATGCACCTGTGTTACACTTACAGGGAAAAAATTCATTTTAAAAAAGGCTTAAAAAACAAACTTATCGTTACCAAATGGGAAAGGTTGCCGGGGTTGGGGGGGAAGGAATAAATTAGGAGTTTGGGATTAATGTGTATACACTACTATATATAAAATAGACAGTCAATAAGTACCTACTATGTAGCAGAGGGAACTCTACAGTATTCTGTAGTAACCTATATGGGAAAGGAGTCTGAAAAAGAATGGATATATGTATATGTATAGATGAATCACTTTGCTGTACACCTGAAACTAATACAACATTGTAAATCAATTATACTCCAATATAAGATAAAAATTAAATTTAAAAAATGGCCTAATCAAGCTTACAACTGTTGTTAACAGCTTCAACTATTACTAAATAAAAAGGCAGTATTATATGTAATCTAACTCTTCCTTTGGAACAAAGATGAAGACAGTTAAAGTGTAATGGCATAGTGGTTATATAGTAGTAGGTATGTGATCTCATAGAATTATTCAGTGTGTATCTCTTCTTTAAAAAAAAAAAAGAGGGGCCAGGGGACTTTTTCCATTTGGGGAATTTTCTTCTTTGTGGGAAAGTAATTGATTTCCAAAGTGAATGAATGTCTTTTTTTAAAATTCTCAGTTAGCTACCAATTTCTTTTTTGAAAACAAGGAAGCACATCAAATTCAATTCAGTAATCATTTTTGAGCAGCAGCTATGTAATTAGGTTTGGGACTAGAAAGGGGGCTGAGGCATGAGCTGAATTCTGAAGGAAGCCGTGTGCTGGAGGAGAGGGAGGCTTAATCATGCTACAATTGTAATGACCATCTAATCCTCGTTTAATGAATGTTTATGCAGAATGGAATATTAATGTCTGTCTTCAAACAGTGTTTTCCCAGCCTATTATAAATAAAGTGAAACCTCAGCTCTTGAAAACTCATTTCTTGCCATTAATGGAGAAGCTCAAGAAAAAGGCAGCGATGGTGGTATCAGAAGAGGACCATCTGAAATCTGAGGCCAGGGGAGATATGTCTGAAGCTGAACTTCTCATCCTAGATGAGTTCACCACACTGGCCAGAGATCTCTATGCCTTCTATCCACTCCTGATTAGATTTGTGGACTATAACAGGTAGACCAGCAGTTCCGAATTTTTTTGGCACCAGGGACTGGTTTCATAGGAAATAATTTTTCGATGGACCTGGGGTTGGGTTGAGGGTGATAGTTTTGGGATGATTTGAGCATATTACATTTATTGTGTACTTTATTTCTGTTATTATTGCATAGTGATATATAATGAAATAATTATGCAGCTCACCATGATGCAGAATCACTGGGAGCCTTGAGTTTGTGTTTCTGCAAATAAGGGGTACTTCCCTGGTGGCTCCATGGTGAAGAATCTGCCTGCTAATGCAGAAGACATCGATTTGATCCATGAGTCGGGAAGATCCCTTAGAGAAGGAAATGGCAACTCACTGTAGTATTCTTGCCTGGGAAATCCCATGGACAGAGGAGCCTGGTGGGCTACTGTCCATGGGGTTGCAGAAGAGTCAGACACGACTTAGTGACTAAACAACAACAGCATAAAAGGAGTACACAACAGAGATCTCTCACATGTGCAGTTTACAGTAGAGTTCTAATGCCACTGATGCTATGACAGGAGGCAGAGCTCAGGCGATAATGAGAGTGATGGGGAGCAGCTGTAAATACAGATGAATCTTTGCTCGCTTGCTTGCAGCTCACCTCCTTCTTTGCAGCCTGGTTCCTAACAGGCCATGGATTGGTAACAGTCCATGGATTGCAGACCCCTGAGGTAGAATGCTCAAAAGTGATTTAATGTCTCTAATTCAGTCATAACGTTACTGGGTTCATATGTCCCAGTGGAATTGCTTCATTCACTACTAGCAATGAGATTTTGCGTGAGGATGACATTACCAGATGTTTGTAGATAAGTGAATTTCGCCAAGCAAAAATTACAATTGGAGATCCCGTTCTGGAGCAGTCCACCTCTCACATGTGAAGGCTAGCAGTTTGTTGGTTACAATGTTTACATTATTTTAAACGTTACAACTGTTCACTGATTCATTTATGAGCTCTGTGGGCAAGCGCGATTGCCCTCAGTTTACTTGGTTTTGAACTTAACTTTGGGAGGTGATTTTTTTTTTTTTTTGAATTTTTTTTTTTTTATTAACTTGAAAAAGTAACTGAGGTACCACTTTATTATATGATCCAGGGCAAAGTGGCTGAAAGAGCCTAACCAAGAAGCAGAAGATCTTTTCCGCATGGTTGCTGAGGTGTTTATCTACTGGTCAAAATCCCATGTAAGTAGGAAAATATTGACAGTGCTTATATGTTAAGGACTTTCAAAATTTAATCAATTTTCCAACCCCCTTAGTTAATACTGATCACAGTTTCTCAAGCTTGTCTCGTATGTATCATTAAACTGGTGAGGAGAGAGACAAGGTTTCCCTGGGGAGTTTGAGGCAGTATAAGCCTTCTGTTGAGTTTTGTAATTATTCTTCAGTCACAGAGATTTTTAATTGCCCTGAGTATTTATTATAAGCAGTAGGTTTTTAGATGAATGCCCAATGATACTTTTAAGAATAAGAAAAAATCTCAGTATGTGCTTTTGAATTCCATGAATATATTTAAAACACAAATCTTTTCAGTTCAGTTCAGTTCAGTCGCTCAGTTGTGTCCAACTCTGCAACCCCATGGACTGCAGCACGCCAGGCTTCCCTGTCCATCACCAACTCCCAGAGCTAACTCAAACTCATGTCCATGGAGTCGGTGATACCATCCAACCATCTCATCCTCTGTTGTCCCCTTCTCCTCCTGCCTTCAGTCTTTCCCAGCATCAGGGTCTTTTCCAGTGAGTCAGTTCTTTGCATCAGGTAGCCAGAGTATTGGAGTTTCAGTTTCAGCATCAGTCCTTCCAGTGAATATTCAGGACTGATTTCCTTTAGGATGGACTGGTTGGATCTCCTGGTAGTCCAAGGGACTCTCAAGAGTCTTCTCCAACTCCATAGTTCAAAAGCATTAATTCTTTGGCACTCAGCTTTTTTTTATAGTCCAACTCACATCCATACATAACTAGTGGAAAAACCATAGCTTGGACTAGATGGACCTTTGTTAGCAAAGTAATGTCTCTGATTTTTAATTTGCTGTCTAGGTTGGTCACAGTTTTGTTTTTTTTTTTCCCAAGGAACAAGCGTCTTTTAATTTCATGGCTGCAGTCACCACCTGCAGTGATTTTGGAGCCCCCCAAAATAAAGTCTCATTGTTTGTTTCCCCATATATATCCTAACCCAAATTTTTAAAGGTGAAACTATATAAGTATCCATAATATTAACAGTAAAATTAGAATGTTAATATGAGCTGGATGAAAATTGAGGCTTAGTCTATTCTCTGTCCTCAATAGAAATCTTTTATTACTTATCAATTATTAATATATGTAGATGCTTACTATGAAGCTGTTTTGTTCAGGTTTTGCTTCCTTAAAAAAGAAGGACATACAGTTATATTGTTAGCCTCTCTATTAAAACTCTGTGGTATCTGTTCTTATTCCATATTTGCTTTAACTACTACCACTGCTTAAACATTTGACTTTGCTGGTGTTTTTATGTTCCTAAATTTAAAGTGAATAAAATAACGTTAGGGTACATGAAAAAGTATTTAAAATATCTGACAGAAAGTTGTGTTATAGTTGTGCTTGCCCTTAGTAATTCTGTGTTTATTCCAAAAGCAGTACATATGCTTTTCATCAAGTAGTTGGAGTTCGAGTATTCATTTTATTCCCTGGTGGCTGTATGACTTGTTTACTTAAATTTCCTAAATCTTAGTTTTCCCATCTTTAAAGCACTCATAGTTCTATCTTAGTTCCCAGAATTGTTGTTCCCAGCCAGGCACCCTCACTGGATATTCAGCAACTACTTGTTTCCTTTCTTTATGTCTTATATATTAAATTACTGCTTATCTTGGTAGAAACTTTGGGGTCCTGTGTAATTTCTAATTATTTGAACTTCTTATCTCTGTGGTTTTAATTGAAACTTCCTTTGGAACTTCTCAGAATTTCAAAAGGGAGGAGCAGAACTTCGTGGTGCAGAATGAAATCAACAATATGTCTTTCCTTATTATGGACACCAAGTCAAAGATGTCCAAGGTATGCTCTATAATCTGTTTTATGTTCTAGGAAATGTTTGAATATAATGTTCATTTGTTGAATAGGTTGATATTTTTTAGATCTTGAAGGTTTATACCTGGAATTTGATAGGTTTGATAATATTGTTTACTGACTAAACACACACCCACACAGGTTTAAGGATACCTAGGACTTGTAATCAGGTGTGGTAAGATATATAGACATGGAAATGACTATCAGAGGGGAAGAAGATTTTATTCACAGTCCCCTGGAAGCAGAAGGGTCAGTCATGAGGCAGAGGGAGGAAGGGGAGAATGTGAACAAGAACCTTTATTATGGTTTCTGTGGGAAGGAGCAGGCAAGGTAGGATAAGAAGGTTTAGAATTGGATGGTTTGAGTAATTTCAGTGGGCTCTGGGATTTTGGGACTGTTCCTAATTGTTTGGTGCCTGGTCCTTGGTGATGACGGCAGGTGGACTAAGGTTCAGGTAAAGGAGGTGATTGGAGGACAAGGACTCTGGATTGACTGGTTTGTCTGTGAAAGATGTGCTTACAGGCAAGTAATTTTGTATCTCTAGGAATTGACTAGCTCTGGGAGGAGGAATCAAAGATCAGCAAGGCCCAAGGTGTCAAAGCATCAGAATAAATAAGGCATGCTTAATAGACATACACATTCACAAAATTGCCAGTCAGTATGATATACATATAAATTAGTCAGTGATATGTATTCATCAAGGGTAGATATATGTATGTATATACACCTCAAAATAATTAGCTGCATTGTTTAAGAAAGAACCACATGATAAATTCCAAATTTTCATACATGAAATGGAAATTTTTGTTTTCTCTATCACTCAAATTGGGGACTGGCATGTGTGCATAGTTGCTCAGTCATGTCTAACTCTGCAGAGGACCTTTCAAAACACTGAAAAACATATGCTTTTATTGTTTGCATTACCACTAAATAAGAAGATGAATATATTACATGGGATAGCACACAAGGTATGCTAGTGAATGGTCAAAAATGCAAAATAGTATGGCACTCTAGCCAAGGAAATCAGTCTCTACCAACTCAAGAAATTACTGAAGAGAGATGCCTTGGGAGAAGAGAGATGATACCCCACTGAACCCCAATAGTTCATTTGATTTGTTTTGTTAATGATCACTGGGAAAATAAAACAGCATCACCCAATACTCTAGTCTTATTTAGAGTTGTAATTACATGTATTTGACATGACTAGACATGAACTTGAAGCTAATGGTAGCTGAAGCTTGACAGCTCTAGTTGTCTGACTGCTATGGATTATTATTTTGTGTGTCTGTGTTACTGAAACTCTCATAAAAGATGATAAATTTTCTTTTCTCTGGGAAGACAATAAGCCTGAAGAGTAAGGAGTTGCTCCTTTGGAAGATGCTATACTAAGAGTATACATTTCACAGGGGTATTTTGAATTGAAAACTGTTAGTGAATTACTTTGCTTTGTCATTATGTTGTCAGTTTAGACCAGTGTTAACAGAGGCATAGAGAGAGGCCATAAGAAGTCAGGGATTCTTCAATATTGGCAAATCAGTCAATGTGATACACCACATAACAAAGTGAAACATAAAAACCACATGATTATCTCAATAGATACATTGAAATCCTTTGATAAAATTCAACATCCATTTATGATTTAAAAAAAACCCTTTAGAAAGCAGGCATAGAAGAAACATACCTCAACATAATAATAGCCATATATGATAAACCCACAGCAAACATTATCCTCAGTGATGAAAAATTGAAAGCATTTCCCCTCAAGTCAGGAACAAGACAATGATGCTCATTCTCACCACTACCATTCAACATAGTTTTGGAAATTTTAGCCACAGCAATCAGAGAAGAAAAAGAAATAAAAGGAATCCAGATTGGAAAAGAAGAAGTAAAACTCTCCCTGTTTACAGATGACATGATCCTCTACATAGAAAACCCTAAAGACTCCAGCAGAAGATTTGAACTGTGGTGTTGGAGAAGACTCTTGAGAGTCCCTTGGGCTGCAGGGAGATCCAACCAGTCCATCCTAAAGGAGATCAGTCTTGGGCGTTCATTGGAAGGACTGATGTTGAAGCTGAAACTCCAATATTTTGACCTTCTGATGCAAAGAGCAGACTCATTTGAAAAGACCCTGATGCTGGGAAAGATTGAGGGCAGGAGGAGAAGGGGATGACAGAGGATGAGATGGTTGGATGACATCACCGACTCAGTGGACATGGATTTGGGTAGACTCCGGGAGTTGGTGATGGACAGGGAGGCCTGGCATGCTGAGGTTCATGGGGTCTCAAAGAGTCGGACACAACTGAGCAACTGAACTGAACTGAATCAATGAATATAGTAAAGTTTCAGGATATAAAATTAGCATACAGAAATCCCTTGCATTCTTATATACTAACAGTGAGAAAACAGAGAAATTAAGGAAACAATTCCATTAAATGAAAAGAATAAAATACTTAGGAATAAATCTACCTAAAGAAACAAAAGACCTATATATAGAAAACTATAAAACACTGATGAAAGAAATCAAAGAGGACACAAATAGATGGAGAAATATACCATGTGCATGGATCAGAAGAATCAATATAGTGAAAACGAGTATACTATCCAAAGCAATCTATAGATTCAATGCAACCCCTGTCAAGCTACCAAAAGTAGTTCTCAGAGAACTAGAACAAATAATTTCACAATTTGTATGGAAATACAAAAAAGTCTCGAATAGCCAAAGCAGTCTTGAGAAAGAAGAATGGAACCGGAGGAATCAACCTGCCTAACTTCAGGCTATACTACAAAGCCACAGTCATCAAGACAGTGTGGTACTGGCACAATGACAGAAACATTGATCAATGGAACAAAACAGAAAGCCCAGAGATAAATCCACGCACCTATGGACACCTTATTTTTGACAAAGGAGGCAAGAATATACGATGGAGAAAAGACAAACTCTTTAACAAGTGGTGCTGAGAAAACTGGTCAACCGCTTGTAAAAGAATGAAACTAATATACTTTCTAACACCATACACAAAAATAAACCCAAAATGGATTAAAGATCTAAATGTAAGGCCAGAAACTATAAGACTCCTAGAGGAAAACATAGGCAAAACACTCTCTGACGTAAATCATAGCAGGATCCTCTATGACCCACCTCCCAGAGTAATGGGAATAAAAGCAAAAATAAACAAATGGACCTAATGAAACTTAAAAGCTTTTGCACAACAAAGGAAACTATAAGCAAGGTGAAAAGACAACCTTCAGAATGGGATAAAATAATAGCAAATGAAGCAACTGACAAAAGAATTAATCTCAAAAATATACAAGCAACTCCTGCAGCTCAATTCCAGAAAAATAATCAACCCAGTCAGAAAATGGGCCTAAGAATTAAACAGACATTTCTCCAAAGAAGACATACAGATGGCTAACAAACACATGAAAAGATGGTCAACATCATTCATTATCAGAGAAATGCAAATCAAAACCACAATGAGGTACCGTCTCATGCTGGTCAGAATGGCTGCTATCAAAATGTCTACAAACTATAAATGCTGGAGAGGGTGTGGGAAAAAAAGGAACCCTCTAACTCTGTTGGTGGGGATGTAAAACTAGTACAGCCACTATGGAAAACAGAGTGGAGTTTCCTTAAAAAACTGGAAATAGAACTGCCATATGACCCAGCAATCCCACTGCTGGGCATACACACTGAGGAAACCAGAATTGAAAGAGACACATGTACCCCAATGTTCATCACACCACTGTTTACAATAGCCAGGACATAGGAAGCAACCTAGATGTCCATCGGCAGACGAATGGATAAGAACACTGTGGTACATATACACAGTGGAATATTACTCAGCTATTAAAAAGAATATGCATTTGAATCAGTTCTAATGAAGTGGATGAAACTAGAGCCTATTATACAGAGAAAGAAAAAACACTAATATAGTATATTGATCCATATATGTGGAATTTAGAAAGATGGTAACAATAACCCTATATGTGAGACAGCAAAAGAGACACAGATGTATAGAACAGACTTTTGGACTCTGTGGGAGAAGGTGAGGGTGGGATGATTTGAGAGAATAGCATTGAAACATGTATATTATCATATGTGAAATAGATCGCCAGGAACTCCTTCTGAACAGAGATTGAGACCAAATACAAACACCAACCAAGAGACAAATTGTCACATATCAAGTCTTGAGCTAGTCCCTCAAGCAGGGATAATCACTATGTGTATGGCATACCATTTCTAAAATTAGAAGAAGATTGTAAGTTGGCCAGCAGACCAATATGGAATAAGGTAATCTGGAATAGGGAAGCTCAGTTTGACCTAAAGCAAAATATCCTAGAGAGAGGCTAGTGTATAGATAATTGGCCATAATACTTAGGTAGTTCTTGTTTTCTTATTTTTTGAGGAATCTACATGCAGTTCCACAGTGGTTGAACCAATTTGCATTCCCACTAATAGTGCACAAGGGTTCCCTTTCTTCAACTTTGTCGCCAAAACTTGTATCTTTTGTCTTTTTGATGTATAGTCTCACTTTTGTACTTCATATATCTAAAAATGTTTAAATCATCTATGATTTTGTTTGTTTCTACTTTGGGAGAGTTGTAGGCCTTTTCATTGGGAGAATACTAAAAAATTTTTCCTTTTTTCTTGGTCCTCTATTAAATTTTAGATCATTTTAGGTGAAATTGTTGGAGCTATATTTGTGGTGTGTGTGAAAGAAAGATAGAAATTCACACACAGAGATTTATTTAAGATAGAATTTGTTTGTCCTACTTTCCTCCTTAACTATGCTGTTGACGGAAATAATAAACAATCTAATAATAGGAATAAACAGGAATTTTATCAGAACCAAACAGAACTGTAACCTGGGAGACACAGATTCAAGAAGCACTTGTCAGAGTTGTGTTCTGCCATACTGCAAAATGCAGGAGACTAATAAAGGCAAACACCAGAAAATTACTTAAATTGTTTGTCAAGAATTATGATTGGAGCTGGCAAGAAGTAAGTGTGCTTGTTAAGTAAGGATTGATTGGGGTCTGAAATAGTTGCATAGTTACCAGAGGAGGTCTTGAGACTATAAGGTTATAGCTGGAAGCTGCTAGCAGATCTTGTTTTGAGGGTGGCTGGTGGTGTCCTTGAGTCTGGTACAGTTCAGAAAATTCATGTTCTCAGTAATGCAGGATCGTGTCTCCAATCACATTCAGTGGCCACTGAGCTCCATTTTGGATGCCTGAACGATTGTTACTCTATTTTAATTTTTTAAATGTATTATTTTCTTTAATGGTTAAAGCAGCTATGCAATGAGTGTTTGACGGGCCACAAAACAAGCTGTTCTGGTTAACGTAAAATTTCAGTTAAATTATGTATGACTTAAGAATGACTTCCCCAGATCTCAATATCTGAAATTTTCTTCCATCAGTGCCTACATATTGACCACATTATTGTGTATTCATGTCTGATTCAAATGTTAGGTAATGGATTGAAAATAAAATATGCACATTCAGTAACTATAGCAGTTTGGGTTCAAATTATTGAACAGCTCCTATGAATCAGGCACAGTGCTTAGTTCTGTATACAGAAAGGAACAAAATAGGTTTGACCACTTCCCTAATGGAGCATCAAAGTCTGGGGAGGAAATGCACTGAACAAGAAAAACCAACACAGATATCCATGAGGATATTTGGTTTTGTGTATATTTAATTTCTTCATACCAACAGTGGACTGTTATCATCCATAAATGTTCAAAGATATATTAACTATTCTTTTCAGTTTACAGAGTTCCTGTGGTATAGAAAACAAGATTACATAATATTTTGAGCATAAGTAGAATTAATTTTTCTAATATTTCTCAAAATTGAACAATATAGAGTTGCCTTTAGTGTTGATTTAAATAATTTTTATTATAAGGTCACCTAAATATTTATAAATATCAAACCAAGTTTAAGTTCCATTTACTTATGCAGCCATAAAGCTGAAAGAGCTTTAAAATTTAAAAATCAAAGAAAATTTCAACACCAATAAAATGTAGGTTTTAATGTATTAATATTTAGTAATATTGTTTTTCTAAGACCAAATTACCAGTGTTGGATAGAAATATGTTTGCATAATTTGTTTAATTTTTAGGATGGTGGTTCCTCATATGGGTTGATTATTTTAATCACTGTGGCTATGTTTCCTTTTAGCAAAGAGCTCATTCAAAACCACGAATTCATTATTTTTATAGATTAATGAATTTAGGAGTACAAATAATTATTCATTGTACTTTTTTATGAAACTTAGTGAGAATAATCTCTTACAAATTGGTACAGATAAAAGTGGGATCTATGCAATAAGTGGTCTTCCCAAGTGGCGTTAGTGATAAAGAATCTGCCTGCCAGTGCAAGAGACATAAGAGGCATGGGTCTGGTCCCTGGACCAGAAAGATCCCTGGAGTAGGAAATGGCAGCCCACTCTAGCGTTCTTGCCTAGGGAATCCCCGTGGACAGAGGAGCCTGGTGGGCTACAGTCTGTAGGGTCGCAAAGACTTGGACACGACCGAAGCTATAAGTACATCTCTTTGGAAAGTGAATATGATTCTTTTTACTATGGTTCAGATTTAATAGATTATATATGTGTATATCAATATATACTATATATGTAATGATATGATACATGATATAATATATATGATATTATTAACATATCATAACTGTCACTACATGATTTAAGTTGTTTCAAAACTTTTGCTATGCGAAAAACTTCTTTCAGTGTCATGTTGTGATATATTTTGCCTTCTTTGGGGGAAGACAAATCGTTTGTATATTAAATTATTTTCTGTTTTTTTCTCAGCTCAAAACTGTTGTACTATATCATTATCATAAGAGTATCTTTAATGTTTGATTTTTTGCTACAAAGAAATTTAGCATATACGAACAAAGGTATATGGGACAGTTGTTTTAATTTTAGTCTTCAAATGTACCCTCTAAATAGAAAAAAGGATCCTCACTACCCAGTGAAAAGTAGACTCTATAATTTGAGGTAACCCTGGCACAGGCATGGTTTCAACAGAATTACAAGGGAACTCTGAAGTATCATGGCTGTGCTCAGCTGTAAGCAAGTCATTCAGAGATAATCCTAAATATTTAAGTAACACTGATTAGTATATTATTAATATGTCTCTTTCTGTTAGATGGGGATTAAGGCCTTAGAGAGACAAGTGTTCAGTCTATGTAAAACGCAAATAAGTGTTTGAGAATTTTATATATGCTGTGTGTGTGTGCAACAAAGCAAGCATTTGTCAAAGCAAAAACCATTTATTCTTACATTTTTTTCCCCTTAAGCATTGATAATTATATAACATACAGTATCTGAAAATAACCATGAATTTTTCATACATCTATATGCCTCTCTAAAATTACAATGTGCAGTTTCCTTCTGAAATTATATAGAAGAAATTCCCTGTTGGTCCAGTGGTTAGGACTTCACGCTTCCACTGGCGGGGGCTTAGGTTGAATCTCTTGTCAGGGAACTAATATTCTTCAAGTCACATGGTGTGGCCAGACTAAAAACAAAAACAAACCAACAAAATAATAACCCTTTCTTGTTTTTTAAAAAATAATTATATAGAAATGCCTACTGGGGAATTATAGTGACTTGAGAATCTGAAAGTAGGACTTAAAATCAGCAAGAGATGCTGAAAAGGAAAGAGAAGAGGTATTCTCAGTAGGATTTTCAAAAACAGGGACCAGCAGAAAATGAGGAAGATGAAAACCACAGTCAGTTAGAAAAGGCTCATGAATCCTGAGGCAAGAAATTGTTGCAGATTCCAATGTCTGTCTTTGTTCCATAGGCAGCTGTTTCTGATCAGGAAAGGAAGAAAATGAAGCGCAAAGGGGACCGATATTCCATGCAGACCTCTCTTATTGTGGCCGCTCTGAAGCGGTTACTGCCCATTGGGTTGAACATCTGTGCCCCTGGGGACCAGGAGCTCATCGCTCTGGCCAAAAATCGCTTTAGTCTGGTAAGGCTCCTGTTGCTCCCATTGGGAAAGATCATTTGACCTCCAGCCCCTCAAGTGTTTGGATTCCTTTGTCTCACTCTTCTGTGTCAATGTTTCTTTTCATTGAAGGCTTTATTAACCAGTTTTTCTATATACGCCCTAGGACTCAGATACAGAGATGGCCTAATATTTTTTTGGAGGCTGTTTTTATTTCTAAATTATGTTAATAACCTCAAGGGTATATTCACACACCAAATGGAAAGATGGCAACAAGTCACTAGCAGTGGGGGAAGAAATGGATTTCATATAAACTCCTGTATCAAATTTGTGATGAGAGGTATCTGCAGATTTATGATGGGTATTTTTTCATAAATGCATAACATGTTAGGTTAGATGCATAACGTGTTATGCTGATCATGGGTGGATACAATGTTGACTTTTAAATCAGTTTTTGTCCTTTGTGAGCATCAAGATTGAAGTTCTCAAGATTTCTTGATGGCCTCCAACTTTCCTCTATGGCTACACATGGAGAATGCAGTGTTTTGAAAATAGGCATGCTATGTTATATACATGTGAAATAAAAGGTGCATTCTCCCTCCCGCACTGAGGAGCCTCTCTGTACCTCCACAGTTTGAGACCCTCCTGTGAGCAGGTTGAGGGGAGGCTGTGGCCACGGGGCTGCAGGGATGCAGGCCTCTTGGCTGTTGTTTCGTATTTGCTTCTCAGGCTTGGCTCCTCATGACTACTGGATATCTGTAGATGTTATTGGCTAAAATGACTTCATGGAGATTTTAGAGACCTTACTGGAGACCTCCTTATGTTGGAACCTAAGGGAATATGCCTCTGTTCTACTTCTTCTGACCTGGAAATTCAGTTGCATTAAATCTAGTGAACTTTCAGTGAAGTTCAGTTAGGCGGTTGTCTTGTTTCAAGTCCCAGCAATATCAAAGAATTAACTGAGCGATAATCCCCCAGATTTATGGCATGTATTAAATCCTATAAATATGTTTGTTCAGACATAGACTATTTCAAAAGAAGTTGGAGTTATTTCTATTGACTTGTGACCATGGATGCATTATAAGACTTCTTTTAGGTAACATTTATTTCTTGACAGAAAGACACTGAGGATGAAGTTCGAGATATAATCCGCAGTAATATTCACTTACAAGGCAAGGTAAGCCCAATATTATTCAAAAGGACACTTAGCACCTATAAACTATATAGTTAATCTCTCTTTAGAAGAAATACTCTAAATAGTTACTTTAACAAGTAAGATAGTGAAAATATATCATCTTAATCATTCATTATTCTGCTTGCAAATCCTTTGAATTAATGTCTCTCAAAATAACAAAAGATGTATTTCTAAAGTAGATCACCAGAGACTGTCAAACTTTGTAAAAAAAAAAAAAAAAAAGGATGGCGCCAGTTGAAATAAAAGTTGGGAATTTCCTTCATACAGCTGAATTTGAGGACTTTTGTGACACAGAGACAGTTGTCTATGAAAATTTGATGTTTTACACCTAGTTCTCAGCAATGAAATATTTATTTAAGAGTCATTAGCACATAGGAGATAGTAAGAATTACTGTAATAGGACAGCCAGTGTACATTTAGAAGAGAAACATGAATGGAAATCATTATAACATCTAGTTTTTAACTGTGGGTAAAATGTTTGCTCTAAGCAGTTTTTGTAGTCAAAGTATTTACCATTATTTGGAAATGCTTTCATAGTAGTGGATAAACTATTCATTTGTTTACTGGACCAGTTATTTAATATGAGAAGTCTTGCAGTTTGTTATTTTGACTCAATTATTTGCTTCTATTCAGATGTCCCTTCTGAGGATTTTTTAAATTATGAAAATGTCCAAATGTCAAAAAGTATTGATTATAGTATAATGTATCCCTTTCTGGGTATTAAAATGTTTCTTTCCAAAGATCCAAGCCATATTCATTTTTTTAACACTTCAGAATATAATGTGATAAAGGTGTGACATGCTTTGCAATATTTGCAATGCACAGAAATTATTTAGGGCAGATTTCATGTGCACTTGTTTATGAACTCTGTCATTCATTTAATTTTAATTTTAACAGAGTAGGAGTTTAATTCCCATACAAGCTTGATGTCTTTGCAGATAAAAGCAAAAAGATTTTGAACATTATTCAAAATATTTATAAAGCCTCCAGCTGAACCTCTTATATGTGAATGTTTGAGGAGATCATGTGTCCCTGAAAGGATCTCAAGATTTCCAGGGAATTTCGGCCCATGCTTTAAGAACCATAGTCCCAAATAGAGACAGGAAGTATTTAGTACCTCTTAAGTAGGTGTTTATACCACTCTCAGGAAACAGCAAATAAAAAGTTATGTCTTGGATAAGCAGGAGGAAATCCTTCCATTATATTCTAGAGGTTACTTATAGGAATACTTTGGACAATGTATGTTGTATATTGTGGTATCAGGAAGAAAGAGAAGAGCTGAGAAGGATGAATATGTATAATCAGTATTTCATCTCCCAATGAATAAAACCTGAAAGTAAAGACATAATGAATACTTACTCTTTGTGACATTTCGTTATAGAATTTTTATACTAAGGGTTGGGCCCTCATATATATGGATTTACAAACAATGAGTTCTTTTGTTCTCAGCTCCTTCTTGAACACATTGTCTTAAAATTGTAGGACTGGTAATCCTGGGGACAAGAGGGGGTAATTTTATATTTAAGAATGAAATCTGTACGTCCAATAGTCCTCAGATGAAAAAAAGTATATGAAGAAAAAGCATTTTGTTTTATCAAAGGACAAATAGGTGTTGACAAGTCATTCAGTGTACAAAGTTCTGCCTCCGACTAGATAAAAGTTATTTTTTTGAAACATTCAGGCTCTGCTTTCTCTGGCTAGGAGTTGTAAAGCTTTGGATGTTGTTGATCTAATTCTGCTTCATTATTCTCCATCTCCCATGTTGAAAGGAAATATTTAATGAGAGGAAAAATATGAAAGTATTGCTTTGCCTGTTTTTAATGACATACTTATTCTAAATTATTTCTTTGAAGTGATCTATACCTGGAAAGATGCTTATATTTGTCAGTTTCTATAGTTTGAAATAATCTTTCTTAAAAACCTTCAGAATTCCGTTATATCTTTAACTCAAGAAAATTGACAGTATTAAAAAGTAGAGTCTATAGATTACTTTATCAGAATATGATTCGATATGCCTTCATTGATTTATATTCATTGGTATCTTAGTTTCAGTGAGTCTGGGCTCTGTTGTTGAGTCCTTTTATTTATAGGACTTTTATATTTATTGGATCACATTAAATGTGACCCTATATCATTGTCTGTAAAGTAAATATGTAAATCTTTCACTGATTCGAGTGAAAGGAAAAGAAAAAAATAAAAATAGCTTCTGCCTGTTTCTTTCCCTGATGATCTCCAGTTCATCCTTAAATCCTAGCTGAAACTTCACTTGTTTAGAGAAATCTTCCCAACCACAACAGATTAGGTTAAGTCCCCAAGGTACCTTTTGTTTCTTCCTAGTAGCCCTGTACAATTGTAAACATTTATTTGATGTCTGTCTCTCTCACCAGATGATGTTTCATGAGTACAAGGTACTTCTGTCTTGATCTCTGCATCATATTTTCACCCTGTGCTGTGCTGGATACATAGCTGTAGATTGACTGTTCAGAAGTGGATGTTCCTCTCTTTCCTCTGTATTTTTTGAATGGTTTTCTTTTTTCTGCAGTTGGAGGATCCTGCTATTAGATGGCAAATGGCTCTTTACAAAGACTTACCCAACAGGACCGAAGACACTTCAGATCCTGAGAAGACAGTGGAAAGGGTCTTGGATATAGCAAATGTGCTTTTTCATCTTGAACAGGTTAGCTTTTGTGTTGATTCAGTCACATTTGCATTAACCTTGTAAGAATGTTTGCTTAAAGAACATGTGCTCACTTGTGAGCCAAAAAGCATACGTGTTCAGTATGTTCATTAAAAATAATCTGTGCCTTGGGATTGCTTAGTATCTAATCAACATTATTTCCAAGGTTATAATTTTTGTAATTATTGATAGATAATGTATTGAGGGAGATCAAGGCCTCTGTTTTTTTGTCTTTTCCAAAATATTTCTAAAATTAAACAGCTAATTAGGATTATATACTTAATTTTAAACCATTCTAACAAAAATTTCACGAGTTACACTTGACTTCAACTGTTTTATACCTGTATTTTTCATTACTGCTCATAGCAACATGTTTGAGATACTGTCTTTCCCTGGTCTCATATTTGAATTTAAGGTCACTTGTTTAACCCTTCACTTTAATATTTTTGAGCTGATTTTTCTCAGGATCAGCAATACATTACATTTAGAGAAGAGCAATGCATTGATATTAAAACGATGTGAGAATAATGTTTTATATCATTTTTCTGTGGTTTTCTATTTTAAACTACAAAGCTTACTGTGTATCTTATTTTCTTATTTATTACCTTCACTCAAGAATTCCCAAACCAATGATATCTGAAATGTTATCAACTGGTGGATTATGTTTTTGTATAAGGAATCTCCTAGCTTACATAAAATATCTGCAACACAGAGACTTTCTCTGTTTCTCATGAGACCCATTCAACCAACTAACACCAGAGTGAAGGTGCTCAATGTAAACTCAAAAGTGTGCTGTCTCTGGGTCTCCATGAAAATACCTGCCCGACATGGAGGGGCAGTTATTTTACATTAAACATAAAATGATAAAATGCCCTGTATCATCTCAGGATATTGTTATCTGAATGTTTTGTAGAACACACTAGAATAGCAATAATAAATATATTTCTTTGATTTCTATTTTATCTCATGATCTCCTGTCTCTGCCCTAGCCAGTTGAATAACTAAGGATATCATCTAATGCAGTATCTGTTAATTTCCTTCTTGTTTGCTGCTGCCTTCTTGTTTACTAAAATGCAAATAACTTCTCGAAAGCCATGCAATTTATCACTATACCTGATGAAATTAAGCTAGTATACTCTTATGCCGTATGACTATCAATATGTATCCGCATTGTGTAACCCTGTAATATTAATAATATAATATGATAATAAAATATTATTTAGGCAACTTAATGTTTCCCTAAATGTTTTCATGAAATATTAAATAAATATAAATAATCATATATCAGAAGATGACAGGATTTGAGGTAATGAAATGTTAAGTGATATGTAAGGGTATAGAGGATTCCCTGGTGGTCCAGTGGTTGAGACACTGTGCTTCCATTTGAGGGGGCACAGGTTCTATTCCTGGTTGGGGAGCCAGGATCCCACATGCCACGCAGCTTGACCAAAAATTTTTTAAAATATAAAAGTTAAAAGAAAGTCATAGAATTGTATATCTGAAATGATACACATATTAAAGAAGATTGTGCTACATAGGCTTGTGCGTGCTAAGTCACTTCCGTTGTGTCTGACTCTTTGTGACCCTATGGACTGTAGCCTGCCAGGCTTCTCTGTCCTTGGGATTCTCCAGGCAAGAACACTGGAGTGGGTAGCCATTCCCTTCTCCAGGGGATCTTCCTGACCCAGGGATCAAACCTGCATCTCTTACCTCTCCTGCATTGGCAGGCAGGTTCTTTACCACTAGCGTCACCAGTTAAATGGCATTACTGTATCATGAGTTTTTAATTCTTCCTGGTTTTCTTATACATATCTAAGTTTCTTGAATGACTTTTAGATACTTAAATGAAGTTTATTGAACTCTAATTATATTTTGTTATAGTCATATGTTATATATTCATAAATACATGTGACATGATGAATGATATCATTTGCACAGTAATGAGATTCATTTTACTGAGCAACTATTTATCCCATGAATATTTATTGTGTGCACTACCATATGACAGCCTTGTACTCTGCAGGTCCTAGGGGTTGAAATCTGTCACTCAACTCAAGTGACTGGTGCTCTAATAGAGAGTACAGACACGTAGATAACTATGTAATGATTTAGATGTGCTATCATACAGAACGTACTGAAGAGAGAATAGAAGGAACCCAGCTTACTCTAGCTGTGATGAGGGTGATCCCTGTGTAAATCTTTAAGATGTGTGAATATCTAGGAAAAGGTAAGCAGGTCAGATTTTAATGGCCAAGTATTCTTCAAAATGTTAAGAATGTGAGTAAAAGAACTCATGAATTATCAAAAACCAGAAAAGAGTGGGGAATATCTGTGTGCAGAATTCATTCCTGTAATCTCTCTATTCTTATGTCAATTTGTAAGTCACAGAATAGTTTGCTAAGAATATTTTCACTTGCTAAACAATATTTTCACTTGCAAAAGTGGTGGATGCACAGGAAAGACTTAATTTATCTCAAATGTCAGTGACCTATGCAAGTGACTTTATACTGTACATCTGGTCATCTTTCTCAGAAGAGTGAGCTGTCTTCTTGGGATTTTCTAATATTCAAACACCAGGCAGGCAAGCTAACACATCAGCACAGCCAGACATTCAAACAGTTGCAAGACACATCTTGTTGTTCACTTTTGGATCACAGATCTTACCAACGTCTAATTACTTCATTTATAGGAAAATTCACTATTTAAGGTCTTTCCTTTGGTAATAAAATGCTCTGCCAAATGGCAGCCTTCATGAGAGCAGAGACCTTTTCCAACACGTTCATCAGTGCTTAGGTACTTAATTATGTTTGTTGAGTGTTACCCATGTTGATCAGAATGCTTTGTTCTCGGTGAATAGCATTATCCTTGATTCTGTGTTCACCTACATTGTCTCAACAATGTTTTGTTTTGCTTAACATAACCGAGAAAAAAACTGAACTAACTGGATAATTATCAGAAAGTGTTTCCTGATCTTATAGAGGAAAGAGGATCACAGAAATAAGTACTTTCAAATTACACAAATTGCTTTGCTGTAATCCAAACATTCTAAATGTTTTCTTCAGGCATTATTATTACATTCATATTTTGTCTCTTTACTGCAAAGGATAATACCTTTAGTTTTACTTTTTTTTTTTAGCTAACATAACATTTTTATTTCTTCCAGAAATCTACATGTATGCGCCGGAGATATTACAATCTGGGAAGTACAGTGTTCAATTGCCTAGAAATTACTAATGAATGTAGAATTCCATGTTGGGATTTTTTCTCTCTAATACTTATAATTAATCTCTTCCTTGAAATTCCAAATGCCATTAGCTAAACACATAGCTTGCTTGCATCATTTACTGCAACTTATAAATTCTCATTTGTCCCTATCTAACAAAATAATTACATAGTTTAACATTTTTGCAAAATTAAATTCTTTTACTCACTCCTACTAATGTGTTCACGAAGACTTGTCATTTTCTCTCCATCCTATTAAATATATTAAGAAACAGTAGACTTCATTAGAATTTTCTTTAACTGCCTCTATTTATATTTACTGTTGTAGGTCTTAGGATAAAATTAGTGCAAATGCATAAGCAAGGATAGGTTAATTTTTCTTTACTTATGTTTTGGCACCATAACTGAATTTTTAAAAAGATGCAAAATTATTTTATATAGGATGGTTTCCTATTTCTTTGGTTTTTAAAAATGATACAGCTTCTTAAGTACACATTGTTGGGAAAATATGATGTTTTTTCTAAGGAAAATCCATAACATCTTAAACTATTTCAAATGTAGCATAGGGTAACTGGAAGATATTTTTGTAATAGTTAGTTGTAAGATACTTTTGGAAAATTGAAAATCTACAAGTTTTTAGCTAAAAGGTACAGCTGCTTAATACTATGTTCCTGAAGATGTTTGGGGGGTTAAATATGTATGTCTCTGTCTTTCTGCTTCAGGTTGAGCATCCTCAGAGATCCAAAAAGGCCGTGTGGCACAAACTGCTCTCCAAGCAGAGGAAACGCGCTGTCGTTGCTTGCTTCCGAATGGCTCCTTTATACAATCTGCCGAGGTCAGGATTTCTTTAATATCGGTGATAGGTTAAAGTTACTCTTCCTCTAAGAAGTGATAGGAGGCTAGCATATACCTTAACATGGATATAGTAGTCCAAGAGAAGGATGAAGGAGATTTATTGCCTCTTCTGTGTAATACTTAACTTCATTTTTCCTTGTTGGTTGTTCTCATTGGCCTGTAATGTCATTATTGGATAGATTTTATTTTTTTATTGAAGTATAGTGCTTTAGATGTACAGTAAAATGATTTATACATTTGTCTTTTCTTTTTCAGATTTTTTCCTGTGTAGGTTATGAGAGCACTGAGTAGATAGATACTGTGCTATACAGTAGGCCTGCTGGTTGTCTGTTTTCTATATAATAGCATATATATGTTAACTTCAGGCTCCTCACTTAGCCCTCCCCACTCATTCCCCTTTGGTAACTACAAGTTTGTTATCTGTTACTTTTAAATACTTAGGAGGATCTGCTCACATATTTGAGGCAGGATAGAGAAATAACTTCCTCTATAGCTCAGTTAATAAAGAAGCTGCCTGCAGTGCAGGGGACCCTGGTTCGATTCCTGGGTTGGGAAGTTCTGGAGAAGGCATAGGCTACCCACTCCAGTATTCCTGGGCTTCCCTTGTGGCTCAGCTGGTAAAGAATCCACCTGCAGTGCGGGAGACCTGGGTTCCATCCCTGGGTTGAGAAGATCCCCTGGAGAAGAGAAAGGCTACCCACTCCAATATTCTGGCCTGGAGAATTCCATGGACTAGACAGTCCATGGGGTTGCAAAGAGCTGGACACAACTAAGCAACTTTCACTTTCAGAGTAATCAGGAGCCAGTCTCTGGGGTCAGACTGCCTTGATTTGAATCCTGACCTCACAGCTTATGAGTGCATGAGTTTGGACAAGGTTCTTTCCTGACTTTGCTGTAGTTTTCTCAACTGTACCATAAGGTTTGCCTCATACAGTTGTTTAGGTTATTTAATGGGTCGAGGTAGGCAGAATGCTTAGAACTGAGCATGACACAATGTTAATCATTGTTTGTTACTTTTGTGATTATTTCATCTTTGGGAAAAAGAATTGATAGGGAACTAACTTAAGGGTATAATGCAAATATATTACCTGTCATGGTACCTCTTCAACTCACTTTATTGACTCAACATCCAGTTCCATCAAATAGCAGATTACAAGTTAGTTTCTACAATATAACAGAGTCTGCTATTCCACTTTCTCTGATATAACATATTCAAAATTGTATTCCTTATTCCAGTGGTTCTCAGACCTGGTACTTGTAGGAAATGCACTCAGATTCACTTGAGGAATATCCAAGCCTGTTGAATCAGAATATCTGAGGGCTTAGCATGTGTACTGTGTAAAAGCTCCCCAGGGGGTTCTTATCTATCAGTAGAGTTGAGCTTCTCTCTAGAATTGATGGTGAGTTCTGGCCATTCCAGGTGCCTGGTCAGTTCTTCTCCCTGGATTTCAAGGCCCTTCATAAACCTATCTCACTTTATGTCTCATGATCCCTTAGTCTAGCTTTGATACTGTTAATGTTGTAGCATTCCACTCTACAACGGCACCGTCTCATTTTAACACGTCTGGTATGTTCTTTTTTTTTTTTCCCATTTATTTTTATTAGTTGGAGGCTAATTACTTTACATCATTGCAGTGGTTTTTGTCATACATTGAAATGAATTAGCCATGGATTTACATGTATTCCCCATCCCGGTCCCCCCTCCCACCTCCCTCTCCACCCGATTCCTCTGGGTCTTCCCAGTGCACCAAGTCCGAGCACTTGTCTCATGCACCCAACCTGGGCTGGCGATCTGTTTCACCCTAGATAATATACATGTTTCAATGCTGTTCTCTTGAAACATCCCACCCTCGCCTCCTCCCACAGAGTCCACAAGTCTTTTCTATACATCTGAGTCTCTTTTTCTGTTTTGCATATAGGGTTATCGTTACCATCTTTCTAAATTCCATATATATGTGTTAGTATACTGTAATGGTCTTTATCTTTCTGGCTTACTTCGCTCTGTATAATGGGCTCCAGTTTCATCCATCTCATTAGAACTGATTCAAATGAATTCTTTTTAATGGCTGAGTAATATTCCATGATGTATATGTACCACAGCTTCCTCATCCATTCGTCTGCTGATGGGCATCTAGGTTGCTTCCATGTCCTGGCTATTATAAACAGTGCTGCGATGAACATTGGGGTGCACGTGTCTCTTTCAGTGGTATGTTCTTACGTTCCCTTATTGATGTGACTTTCTTAGGGGAACCTTAGCCATATATCGCATCAATTTCAAGATGAGTTTACTTATTCTTTTAGTCTTTACTGGTCTTCTTTAATTCATAGGCAACTATTTTCATCAGTATTTTAGGATTTAATCTTTGGATATATACTCCCATAAAGTTCCCTTAATACGTTTAGTTTTTTAATCCTCAGAGGCTATATCTGATGTTAGCAGGAAGACTGAATAATTCATTTGTTGATGCTCACAACTGTTTATCCAGAGTCACTTTATGTCATAAGAGCTACCATGTAATGAGCATATCCAATGTGTTTTATGTTCTTTATCTGTTTGAGTCTCACAAAACTGAAGCATAGATGGAATTATCCTAGTTTTATAAATGAGAGAAGGAAAGTTGACAAAGTTGGAAAACTTGACCAATGTTACAAAACTTAGAAATAACTGAATCCAGGTCAGTGTGTGATCTGAGAAAGCTTTATCTACTGCAATGTCTTGCCTCTCCAGTCAAGATTGGAAAGTTTATTTTTATTTATTCTTTTAATGCACAGATAATCCAGTGATTAAGTGCTACGGAATGCCTTTTCAATTTATTTTTTAAAAAGGCTCTTTGAAATTGTGCTTACCTTTTAGGCATCGGGCTGTCAATCTCTTTCTTCAGGGATATGAAAAGTCTTGGATTGAGACAGAAGAACATTACTTTGAAGATAAATTGATAGAAGATTTAGCGGTATGTTTTTACTGGGTTAGAAGAGGAAAGAAGCTCTGGGCTTGGTGGAATAACATTTGTGTGAGCCATTTATCTTATAACATTGAAGAGGAAACATTATTGCAGCCTATGGAGCTTAGGAAACTTTATTCTGGATTATTACTGCATGTAATATTTAGAGAAAATTCACTCTTCTTATTTCAAAGAGATCTCATCAACATCCAGTAATTCAAAATTTAACTAAATTTTGACTCTATTGTTCTTTTAAATTATTCCTCAAAGCAACTTCAAACACCTCAGAATCAGGATAGAACTATAAAAGCTGAACCATAAAGAATGATTCACCAAAAATAAGTTGAAGCTTAACAAAAGCCAATGAAAAGTGGCTGGTTGTTAAACGTATACAGGGCAGAGAACGATAGATTGGATACAGGAAGAGCAGGAAGTCACAGTAGATACAGCATAAATGGAGAAGTAGAATTTTTCACCCAACCATGCTGATAAGGAGACTTGTGTTACTGAGAATGCTTCACTCAAGGGAGCCATTGTCTCAATTTTTTATAAGCTGTGGGCCTATTTAAAAATCTGATTAAGAACCATCTTCTCAGGAAAATTTACAAGCATATAGTTCTGCTGAGTTTTGTAGACTGAGAGGCTTCATAATTCCAAAGTTAAAATTTTTGTCTAAAAGGTTTTTTTGAAAAAAAAAAAACACAAATAATCAGGGCATGTGATGAACAAACTAATCTCATTAATAAAACATTAATCCTGATTATTCCCATATATTTAATTTAGTTATTATTTTTCTTGGGGTATAGTTGATTTACACTGTTGTGTTAGTTTTTGCTGTACAATGATCCCATATATTTTAAGTGAGTTTCATTTTTCTTTAGAATATCAGAATATTTTAACCTTGCAGATTTACCATACTAGCTGCAACATTAAGCCTTAAATCCAAGAAAGAACATCATTTACATAGAAAGAATATCAGTTTGAATGGGTAAGTCTGATGGAGATACAAAATTCATTAGTCATTCAACAAACAGGATTAATTTGTTCTCAAGTCAGTAAAAAATGCTTAGTAATTTTCTTTATGGTTAATGTTCAATAAATGAAATTACTTTTTTAAGTTTTAAAAGTAAAAGTGAGAATAACATGTAAGTGGCTCAAACATTAAGTCATTCAGCATTCTTTACCTATCTCTGTCTATGTAGGCAACAAAAATGTTTCATGTGATAAAACAGTTTGCCTTGCTAGGTGCACTAAATTTTTATACATGGAGTGACAGTGTTTTATTGCAATTTTTTTTGTATTCGAGATCTCCCTAGCGCTGCTGAAATCCATGTAGCAGTTCACTTTTCAGTTAGTTATGATGCTGCTTATAAGAATAGTATTCAGAATTTTAAGTGATGTAAATCATCCTTGCCCACAGTGTTTTTGCTCCATTATTAAACAACTTTTTAAGTTAAAAATTAAAAAAAAAGAAAAAAAAGAAATTAAAAATTTATTTTATTTTTATTTTATTTGGCTGTACTGTGTTGCATGTGAGATCTTAGTTCCCTAACCAGGGATCAAACCTGTGTGCCCTGTATTGGGAGTGCAGAGCCTTAGCTACTGGACTCCCATAGAAGTCCCAACTTTCTTCTTTAAAACTGTATACTTTTGCATTGATAATGTAATACACACATGATGGTACAATGCATATAACATAGACACATACATGCACCACAATAGGAAGAAAAAGGCTTTCTTTTTATCTGCCATTCCAAGCCTTCATAGTACTCCTGGGTTTGAAGTGAACATTTCACCTTAATGTGAAATTTTATGAATTTGACTTTTTTATAGAAACCTGGAGCAGAACCTCCAGAAGAAGATGAAGGAGCTAAGAGGGTTGATCCTCTTCATCAGCTGATCCTTCTGTTTAGTCGAACAGCTTTAACGGAGAAATGGTATGGTTGGGGAGTTCACAGGAGACATAGGAGGAACAAACAGAAACCCATGTCTGAGTATTCTGTCCGTCACATGTTTCAATTTCATCTTCTTGAGAGGAGAGAAAATTGTTCAAAGTTAGTTGAGAAGACCCCCTGGAGAAAGGAATGGCTACCCACTCCAGTATTGTGGCCGAGAGAATTCCATGGACTACAGTCCTTGGGGTTGCAAAGAGTTGGACACGACTGAACAACTTTCATTTCACTTCACTTCACAGGACCAGTCTGGTATACATGTATGAACCAACACTCGTTCAACTTCAGACTTTAATATTTACCTATCAAACATTAACATTTCCCTAGCTCTAATTCTTTTAACAACATTGTAATTAGCTGGTTGAGTTGATTCTGAATCTTCTTATAATCTTCTCTTTATCACAAATATCCTTTAGAAATTAAAACAAAAGAGCCCAAAGTGAATTTCAATACCAAAAATGTTGGAGACCACCGGTGACCCCAAATTTCCTGGATAGATTATCTCCATTGTTCAGTGAGTGTTAGGAAACTTGAGAAGATGGGTAAGCCATCCACTTAATGCAAAGTTTCTTTGAGATCTGTTTTAAAGGCCTTCTCCATTTTTGTTGGTTCTTGTTCTTCTGAATTCATTGTAACCACAGAGGGCTAACCTCTATGGAAGTGAATAAGAAATGCATTCATAGGCTTGATAATTAAAGTGTGCTCGCACCTGCCCATTCCAGGGGCATGGCGTAGATTCATTCTGTAGAGGAGACCTTGCAGAGGTTTCAAAACCTTCATCAGCTTCCCTGTCTTGGGAAAGAAAGCCAGCTTTGCCCCAGGCACAGCAGGAAAGCAATTTAATTATCAGTCCCTATTCACATGAGTCTTGATGAGTTCATCTGACCTCTGTGCATGTCATAATAATGTACATTTCTCCCTCTTAGCTAATGTGCCCCATCTTTCTCTCACTGTCTCTCTCTTATTATTTCCTAACTAACCACATCATCTCACCCCTAAGCATAGAGCAGCTCCCTGTGGCCTTGTCAGGTAATGAGGTCTTTCTCATAAGTGGCCTTTTCTGATGGCTCTAAGCTTAGAACTGTTAATTTTGCAAACATCAGGGATTTTTTATTGGAAGTCTTTCTTCAGTGAATTAGTGATTTTCATGCTTTTTCAAAAGAAGATAATAAATAGATTTTAACCTGTCTTAATTTTTAAGAATCTTTATGACCATAATATTTTTTCACTATGTAGTCATATAATAATTTGGGGAGTCTTTCCAACGAATGTCAGATACCACTTCTGCTGTCAAAATCCCTGACACCACGTAAATTTTCTTGTTTCAATGTTTGTATTTTTAAGAAAACATTAATGTTACTACATTTGTGTGTAAATCAGTAGATTGTTTATTTACACACAAACATATTTATTATATTAGACTGTAAGGTAAGATGGGGCCACTCTTGAGGAAGTCAAATATCTTTGCTTTCTGATTCTACAATATTTTTGAATGATTGCTCTAAGTTTTGTGTTTGTTTCATTTAAAAAAGACACACTTGTTGAAAGAAGGTTATTTTATATGGTGATGGTAATGTTTTCATGTAACTAACCTACTTTAAAACTGTTGTTTTTCTCTTGTTTTTCATAGCAAACTGGAGGAAGATTTTTTATATATGGCTTATGCAGATATTATGGCAAAGGTAAATAAATGTCTTGATTTTAATGGTAAAATGTAAAATTCTACATATTTCTCAATTAAAATCTTGTTAAATTTTAGAAAACATATGGGCATTAATCTCAACTTTTCACTTGTTTCTTGAATATCTGTTCTAACTTTTTTGACAGATAATCATTGTTTCTTCATTTAACATTTTAATTTTTGGGAATCTCACTAATTTTCCAAACATTCATTCATTCAACAAATATTCACTGGGCATCAAGATACTGGAGATAACATGGTGAATCAGAGAGAAATACACACATCCTGTCATCTTAGAGTTTATCATCTGATAGGAAAGGCAAACTTTGAACAAATGATTACCCAAAAGATGCTGACAAGTTTAATGATAGAGGAGCAATTAGGAGTATATGGAGTAGGTTGCATAACACTGAGTTTTAAGGAAGTCCTTGACTGTTGAATGATGAGTTGACCATGCAAAAATAGTAATAGCTAAGTATTTACTGGGTGGTTATTTCATTTAATCTTAGAGCAAGGAGATGAATGAAGTGATGAGTATAAAAGAGGTGTCAGGTTTCTCTGAGGCTTCTGACTTGGGCATCTGAGTTGACTGCAGTACCATATGCTAAGGTGGGGAGCACCAGAATCAATGCAGGCTTAGAGTGAAGAGGCAAGATGACAAATTAAATTTTCAACATGTTCGTTAAAGATGCCTGTGAGACATCTAAAGGAGATGTCCAGCGTGTGGTAAGATAGTCATTTCTGACATTCTGTGTCTCATGGAAGGCTTATAAATACAGCTTTGTTCTTTGTCAGCATTAGAAGGAAACTGAAGCCAAGTAGTAGATAATCTTGCTTAGTCAGAAAAGGAAGCATGAGAACAGTCAGCGTAGGACCAAGCCTTTAAAGACGCGAATGCTTAAGAGGTGGCTGGAACGAAAGGACTTCTCACCAGAAAAGTAGGAGAGAAGCTTAAGTGTGAGCATACATAGGAACTGTTGGAATGTGTGGTCAACAAGGTCTTACTCTGCTGGGGGACTGAACATAAGGATTGAAGATTCCCCAGGATTTATTCCATGGACATCATGTGACCATGATGAGAATAATTGCAGAGAATTTCGAGGGAACATTGATGGCCCAAGTGTGTACTGTGGGGAAGTAGAGACTTCCATGTGAGTAGATGTGGCATAAGTCTCTTTATTGAGAAGACTGAGAAGGAGGAGAAAGATACAAGGTAATAAACATCTAGATGGAATTATAAGGTTGAAGGGGGATTATTTTTGCTTGTATGCCTGTTTGTATTTTTTAGTTTTTTAAAAAACAGATGCTAGAATGCTTCTGTTCTGGTGGGAAGGATCAAAAAGAGTAGACAGAGAATAATTTGTGAAATGAGGCTTTGAACAGTTGACATGCTTTGAGCTTGGTGACAGGGCAGGTAGAGAGCATAAAGGAAAAGTCATGGCTTTCCACTCATAGTAATACATTTACCAGTATATTTATACAGACATAAAAGCAAGTACCTTTAAAGAAAATCATCATGAAATTATGTTTAAATTATGAGCAGTATATAGTCTGATATTTTCTATTCTATTTAAATAAAAAGGTCTCTGAGATCACGAATCTCTAAATAGATTTCATGTCCAGTTAATGTTTTGAAAGCCATAGTGTATAAATCGTGGAAACAATCTAGTCTCAGTGATGCGATTCCAGTAGGTCATTCTGCCTCTCCGCTGTGGACTCAATAGCAGGGAGATGATGAGGAACGTGACTGAGAGACGACACGCGGTGGCCCCCGCCCGCCCCCACCCTGAGAGTCTCCTGACCCACCTCCTGGCTCTCTCACACCTCGTTCCAGACTTAGGAGCATTCCCCTGGGCCGGTGGCTCCCGCCTCGTCCTGTCACAAGAGGCTTCAGGAGGATCCAAAGACACTAGGGACCCTAAGCCCCAGACCCCAGTTGTTTTCTGTCACCTTTGGAGGCAAAGCATAAAGGACTCCTGCCTTTTTGTGCCACAAAAGGGGGCACAGAGACACCCTTGCTCTCCAGCTCCCCTCTTTGGGGGACTCACTGGGTCACTACTTAGGAGGAGGTCTCTGGGCCTCGCTGACCTTTCTGCCTTTCCTCTCGACCCCGCAGCCAGCCTGTGGTTCTTTCTCCCGCTCTCCTGAGAGTGTAAAATTAGGGTGATTTCTGCTGCAGTCTGTCGCAAATCTGTCCTTCTGGGGGAGGGCCTTGCCTCCTCCTCTGGAATGAGAGCCTGAAGCGCGACACAGGCTTGCTCTTGGACATGCATACTGTCCTTCTGACTGTGCCCTTTGCCCAAGAAATAAAAAAGAAAAGAAAGAAAACAATCTAAATGTCCATCACCAGATTAATGGATAAAAAAGATGAATTCGATATATGTGTGTGTGTGTGTGTGTGTGTGTGTGTGTGTATGTATATACAATAGAATACTACTCAGTCATAGAAAGAATGAAATAATTTCATTTGTAGCAACATGGATAGAACTAGAGAGTATCATCCTAAATTAGTCAGAAAGAGAAAGGCAAATACTGTATGATATTGCTTATATATGGAATCTAAAATATGACACAGAGAACTTATCTATCAAACAGAAGCAGACTCACAGACACAGTAAACAGACTTGTGGTTTTCAGGAAGGTGGGAGAAGGATGGATTGGGAGTTTGGGATAGTTGTATTAAGTCGCTTGTCGAGTGTAGCATGCCAGGCTCCTCTGTCCATGGGATTCTCCAGGCAAGAATCCTGGAGTGGGCTGCCATGCCCTTGTCTAGGGGATCTTCCTGACCCAGGGATTGAATCTTTGTCTCTTATGTCTCCTGGATTGACAGGCAAGTTCTTTACCACTAGTGCCACCTGGGAAGCCACGTATGTATAAGTGAATCACTTTGCTATACACCAGAAACTAATACAACATTGTAAATCAACTATCCTTCAACAAGATAAATTTTTAAAAAACACTTGATTAAAAGATGAAAGAGGAAAAATATTTCCTTCTATGGAAATTGGTACTGAGTATTGATTAGAAACTAAAATGGAACCTCCAGATAGTGTGGAAAGCCTGGTTGATGTCAGTTTTTATGAATTTGGGCAGTACCAGTCTTCCTGGTTGTGTAGCTTTACCCTAGCAGTTCCCAGAACCAAATGCAGAGTCAGAGAAGGCAGGAAGTTAGATTCATCAAGGATGGCAATATTTACCAGACTGTTGTTGAAGGACAGAGGATCATAGGGCTTTTTTCTGTCATTATGAGAGTGGCTGAGGCATTGGATCTTGGATTCTGAGTAAGACAAATAAGGAAATGAGACATGAGGGAGCTGATAAGTAAGGAGATTGTAAAGTAGCCTGTGGACTGTTTTCCTTTTAGTTGAAGAAGCAATGAGCAAGTGGTCTGAAAAGGAAAAGCTCCTGTTTTGAGAGTAAGAGATTCCTGATGGCTCACATTCTTCCTTGTGACAGGAGAAGAGTCAGCCCCTACACTTGTCCTTAAATCTAATCTCTTCTGAGAAATGATCAAATATTTGTTGATGCTCACTCTTCGTCAAGATTTTCCCATCAAAAGTAACTAATCCCTGTCCGTTTGTTGTTTAATGTATCCCAGGAATGCCACGCTTCTGTCGCTTCTTCTGCCAGTCAGTTATCAAGGTGTGTGCCGCTTATGAGTGTACCTGTGTAGTGCACAGCGGGACTTTATCCTGGCTTATTCTGCCCTGGGATTCTGTACATTTACAATAAATTGTAAGAACTCACTAGTTTTTTGACAGCCAGGTTGCATTTTTTCTCTCATTGTGAGCCTGCCTTTTCGTCTCAATTCCAGGTCATTTATGAATTTCTTTTAAGGTTTATCATACAGTTGATGTAGGCTTTAGTTAAGTCATCAGTTCTCTAACTGGAGTTGAACCACTGTCCAAGGCCAAAATAGTTTTAAAGTTCAATTCTTTCATCCAGTGTTAAATATCTCTTTACATTTATGTTACCCACAGACTTAGTTAAGTGTGCTATCCCAGTGTTTCCCTAAGTTGCTAGTTTTGGTAAGTCACATCAAACTATTTAGTAAGTAGTTTCACGAGGCTGCCTTTGTTCACTTTGGCAGTCAGCATCCCAGGAGTCTGAAAATTTCCCTTGGACTTCATGGTTTCTCAGAATTTATTAGTGGTCATTTTACGTTCATGTATGATTTTTGACTTGAGTCTTGACATTTGAACTCTATTCGAAAGACTTATGTCATCCTGTCTTTCTTCATTATTGTAGGGCTTTATGAAGGCAGCATTCACATCATAATTGGTTTTTATAAAATTTCAGTTTTCATTGTTTTTTTTTTTTTAATCATTGGAGCCCAGAATTGGGTTAATCAGAACTCTGGATCCATGATACACTCCCATTATTGACTCCTTTTTTTTGTCCCCCTCCACCCCTCAGCACTGCATGGTATGTGAGATCTTAGTTCCCTGAATACGGATTGAACCCGCACCCCCTGCATTGGAAACACTAGAACACCAGGGAAGTGCCCATTGTTGACTACTTTTATTGAAGGTAGTTACTTAGCAATTTCTAATAATGTAGTAACTACCCCTAAACTCACTACTCACAAGAAAAGCTAAGACCTTGATAATTACCTACCTTAATTAAAGTGGTTCTCTCTTTAACCCATACCTTGCCTCCCCATATGAGGAAATCATCATCTTGTATCCCTTGTCCAGGATAATCTTGCTTTCTTTTGGGGACTTCCATCGTGACTCAGACAGTAAAGAATCTACCTGCAATGTGGGAGATCCAGGTTTGATCCTTGGGTTGGGAAGATTCCCTGGAAAGGAAATGACTGCCCATTCCCGTATTGTTGCCTGGAGAATTCATGAACAGAGGAGCTTTACACAGTGTTCATTAGTTATATGAATTTTTTGAAATATATATATATTATATATATATGTGCATTGTCAGTCACTCAGTTGTGTCCGACTCTTTGAGACCCCATGGGCTGTAGCCCATCAGGCTGCTCTGTCCGTG